GGAAGCGAATCTTTGACAGGGAGCAAAAAGTCTAAAGAGTTTGTCACGACTTGGGAAGCCTCAAGCCAAGCGGACTGACCGATGATGGGAAGCTCTTCACCTGGCTTGAGATGGCCTGCATGCTGAATAAGACAGAGTTTGGGTTTGCTTATCCAGAAGGCCGAGGGAGGCTGAAATAATCGAGGTAGCATATCCCATCGTGGTCCTGCTTGCCGCCAACTTGGAATCGAGGATCTGAGGGAAATCAACTATTCGTGCTCTGGATCCATTCCTGTTCAGTTATATATATGCTTGTAAGATAAGCATATCACTTAAAGTTGCATATTCAGGTTCCACAATCGTTTAGGCCGCAACTCCCTACCTCTCATCATGTTACACACAGTCTCTAGCATAGCAGAAGCAAATATAGTCGCCAAGACCAAATCACCAACAAACGCTAGAAGCAACACCAATCACACAACCTTCTTGTCACAAAACCGTGATGAGGGGGGGAACGGAAGAAGCGGGTGCTACCGTCCCGTACGGGACCCAGCCGCCGCGCCCAGCGTATGAAGCACCATAAATCCAACATAGTCGAAACGTTCACCAAAGGAAAACACTGGTGCAACAACGGCCAGGATACCCGTGCCAATCCGCTGACTTCGAATATCCACCCGCGGACGTGTCAATATTTTCCGACTCCCTTGGCAAAGAGCCGCACACAGCATGCCACACACTGATAGCATTGCTCACATAAACTTCGTCTTCACAGTATGCGAGCATGATGGAAGTCATATTCAACGATGAAGGCATTGAAGTAGCCTCATCAATACCGATAACTCATATTTTTTCCTAGCTCGGGGGTATTCCTGAAAGATAACAATAGGAGCTCGCGCTCCTGTGCCCATGTATCATTAATGAAAAAATCACAAAAAATGATATCCCGCAAAAGTCTGTCCCGGCCGTAGAACGCCTTGCTCGGTGACCATGGCTTTTTCTGGTGCGTCGGCCTAGATCAAAGAACCAGAAAAATTACTCCGTCGCTCATAACCGGTGAAAGTGGCACTTCCCACGCAATCCCCAAGGCAACGGGTTGTATCCAGCCGAGGTCTTGCCTGCCATGCTCGCCTTCGTCTAATTTTGATTTCATAACATGTTGATAATTGTATTCGTGGAGAAGTCAGAGTGGGATGGAGTACTGGGTGTGGGTTAGATTCGGCAGTGCGCCGACAGGTGTCCCCGACTAAATCGTTCTTCCCACACAGCTCAGCCCGTCGAGTCGACGATGATGACTCTCTGGATCGAATTTACGGATCCAGATCTCTGCAGCAACGTTTTGTGAAACCGCAGTGCTGAAACTGAACGCCATCGAGCCCTTTGAGGAACGGAGGGGGTCTCAGGCGTATCGAATCCACCATCCCCTCCACCACAGCGTTGCGAGACTCAAAGGGTTGAGACAGCCGCACGAGGGAATGTGGCGTACAAAGGGGGGAGGAGAAGAGGCGTTCAACCGATTTCTTTTTAGGGTTTCCCACCCAGCGACAGATCTAGCGATTGGGTGATGTGTGGCGTCCCTTAGTCGTCATCCAAGCTTCGCCCGCCGCATCAACCCGCTCGGTTCTGTCTGAGCGTGGTCGGGGTCCACTTTGGCCAGACATCTTGCCTCGGCTGTGTGGTCTCGATAGTGCTAGTGTGCTTGATTTGTAACCCCTCTTTCAGGTGTCTTTTGGCCATGATCCAATCTTCGCGATCGTCGTCGGCAGGGTGGGATCCTCGTCGCAATTCGTGCCGTCCCATATCTTGGTGCTAAATTCTTGCGTCGCCCACGGGGCTTGGATGTTTGGCAGTGCCAGCGATTTCTGAGCCGCCGAAAGACCCTTGATCGACGAATCGTCCTCAAAGTTTGTGATATCGAAAGAGTCGTCGAGGGTTAGCTGGCTCGCCTGGCTCGTACTCGGTTGGTGGCTCTGAGTAGGAGGAACCCTTTCAATTTCGACAACCACCTCCCGCGTTCTGTAAATCGCCATCTTGGGCTGTCCGTCTGCGTCGGTAGCGTTCGCGGCACCTATGGAAGGTCGCCTACTGCTCGGACCGGAGCTGACCGCAGCGACGTTAATTCCTCGCAATGCGGGTATCTTTGGTTTCGTCACGTTGTTGAGTTCGATGGGATTCGGGGGTTGGCTGCTGATCGTTGCATCGATTCCTCCAACTGGGCGACCTCTAGCGTAAGTAGGTAATTGCAAGCTGTACTCGGATGGCTGGTACGAGTCTCGGTTGTTGCCGTTGAAGTCGGCAGCAGATAGAATGCCGAGATCGCGTTTCCGAGCAACCTTTCCAATCAGCTCGGCCATCGACATCTCGATCTTGAGCTTGACCATGTACGCCAAAGGGTGGAATTGCATGTAACTGGAGAGCAACGTTAGTACGCTATGCACACTTACCCAAAACCCATCGCTATGTCCACAACGAGAGTTTGGGTTTCGCACAAGACCACCTACACAAATGTGTTGTTGAGGCTCATCATCGCAATGATAAGCACGTCCATGCTCAGAGAAAACCCAATGATGAACATGTTGAACTGCGTCAGTCGCTTGTACTTGGTTAGGCCGTGGGTAACCAAATTCTTCTGGACAATGCGGACGAAGTAAATGTTGAGCGCGCCATCGACAATAAGGTAAATGACCTTTTCGCAGCGATCCCACCACTCGTTGATCTCGATATATCTCTCTGACACCTGTAACCGAGCCGGCACCCAAATGTTGTAGACGGAAATGTTGATGGCGGTAATCAGCACGGCGACGCCCACTTTAAGTCGCCATGCCCGCTTCTGGTTGGTAAGAAGAATGGCGCATCGGTTAATGATGATTTGTAGAAGAAATTGAACCTGGAGAGCCCAAGTGGTCACTGTGGTGGTCAGTACATGGCTCAGCAGGCAAGGTCGTACTAAGTAACTTACAGATGCAAAAGTAGAATGCGAAGCTGGAAATGGCGGCAGTAAGTATCAAATCGACGACATGTTGGAGTAAGTAGTACTGGTGACTTACCTTGGCGGTATGATGCCCTTCAGATGCAGCCAACATATAATGCTGAAGATGGTACACACGAGAATCTCCAGCCAAATCATCCAGATGTAAGAGTTCCGGTAGATACGATCGCCTTGCCGCCTATACATGGCGGTGGTCTGCTTGATCGCCGTCCATACTGTGAGCCAGCCGAAGCCAAGAGTGAAGCCCCAGGCCAGAGATGCAATGACCATGTCATCTTCGGAGACCTCTTCGAGCTTGAAGTGCGGGGAGAGGAGGGTCATCATGATTGACCAGCCTGAACATCATAGCAGCGAGGCTGAGACATTAACAGATATTATTCCGTATTTTGCTTCATGGTCGGAAGAGGTGGGTGTTAGTGGAGAGTTGAGATGAGAAAGGGAAGGAACTGACAAAAGGGATTAAACAACAGAACTTACCGAGAGCATGGTCAACAAAGAGTGGTTCCACGACGTCATGCACAATTGGAAGTGAAAAATCGAAAATTGTCTAGCAGGGTCCCGATCTGGCTTTTCGAGAAGTTGGGCTCGTTCGTGGCCGGTTCAAGAACGGAGAGCGGACGAGCACAGGAGGGGGGCTGAGAGTCAGAATGCGCAGAGGGCTGGTGTTTTTGAGGCGAGCCCTTTGGGCTAGCAGCGCAAACACTCAGAGTAGCGTTGCGATCGGACCCAACACGTCGTGTTTCATGGGCGAGTCAGGGAACGGTACACGCACAACGGTACGGATGGCGTCGCCTTCAGCGAGCCAACACACACTAGCACTAGAACGTTTTTTCACTGCAGCATGGAAGAAAACCAGCCTTCTGCCGCAGGTAACCCACGCTGGAAGCAAACGGCGGCTTCATCCTTCCAAGGAGAGGCCCAGTCGGGGTAAGCGTTAACGCGAGAGAAGAAACCATGCAGCGCCGGCCATTCCGATGGGAGATGAGGATCAGAAGTAACGTTCGCTAGTGGGTGCTGTTTTCCCCCCCTAATCGCGAAAACGCAGAGCATGTGAGCAAAATGGTCATCCTTTCAAGGGCAATTCCAGTCTCCCGCTGAAAGAAGATGGCCCTTGCTGACTGACAGCGTGGAGGGAGCAGCCAGAACTCTGCTGATGGTGCCCAATGGAGAGCAAAGCCAAATATTGAACGACATGGAATGCGAGCGCGGCAGAAGATCGGCCATGGAAGCGGTGAGGGACATGTCTGCAGCTGTTAAGGCGCCGATCCCTGGCAAGGTGTCATTGGGACATGACTTGGTCGTCGGCATTAGGGCGAGCGACTTAACCCCAAAAGAGACTTTCATGGCTGCGAAGCTGAGGGATGAGAGGCCCAACGAAGGGAGGAAGTGGGCAGAAAGAAGAAAGCTTGGCATCTGATCTTCGCTGCGAATTCTGCGCTTGGGGACCGTCTTCTCGTCAGCGTAGAAACGTACAGGGACGAATCGGACACGAGATGCTGCTGTTGGCTCTGGGATCACCCAAGCCGGTCTTTTCTTCTATTACAAAAGTCCGTACGGATAGTTAAAAAAGAAGTGTGGTGAGCACGTGGCTCGTGCAGCTGTGGTGAAGAAGCTGCTCGGATTAGCCCTGGGCTGGCGGAGGTGGCCGACAACCTCCTGTATCCTGAGGACAAAGCAGAGTTTCTTGATGCTTCGCTTGAAACTCCCACCCAAGATTGGCAACATATGCTTCTCAGGAGTTAATCTGGTTCTGCAAGAAGACGGCGGGAATGCCGCGGTCGCCGTGTAACCACTTCGAGCCTCGAGGTTTCCTGACCAAACCCCGTAAAGCCCCCTGGACGAGCCGTAGTAGCGGTGCCGGATGTTGCACTCCGGGCATTGGAAATTGTCCAAGTAAGAACCATTTCATATTAACAAGACTTCGTATCCCCTCAGGCTTCGGGATGCATGGATGTGCTTGTCGGAAGTGACTGCGAAGGTTTCGACCCAAATCTAGCCCATGGAACGTGCGCCGACTATCGTCTTGGTAATTGGAAGATGGAATCCGCGGTTGCTTGGGGTTTGAAGAGACGAAAACCTTCCATTGCAATTACCGTCCTCCTAGCTCCGCTTACGCATAGTAGCTATCGGATATTGGACATTTCGGGCAATTATCTTGGAGCACGTTGCCCTTACTCTTGACGTGAGGTCATTGTGGTGTGGCAGGGCGGCTTTTCGTTGGAAGGATATAAACGCGCGTTCTGGAAACGTGCCATCAGAGAGACGGGATGCATGGATTAGCGAGCCGGCGCGGATCTCATCTCCTTCCTTCTTTTGAGCCTGGAGATTCGGTGGAGTTCGGCATCTCGCAGCGTTGCAGTAAGGCGCAAATACGGTGTTGGCGAAAGACACATGTCTTTGCATACAATCGCATGCCGCAGTCATACCGAAAGCTGTCGGCATAATTAGCCCCCCTCCCAAAAGTCCAAGTCCGTAAGGTACTCGAGTCATCGTTTGCGGGGCATCCGAAGGTTAGTGGCATGCAAAAGATGGGCAGCGCACTGGGGCCAGAACATCACGTAATGGTTTGTGATGTCGTTGTGGTTTTAGGTCGCACCGAGGCTATGGTTCCTCTCCCGCAATATCTTCGGCTAGAGGCTGATTGACAAGAAAGAAAGCTGCGGCATTGAGCCCCTGAGGAGCGGGCCGTCCGCAAATCTTCTCGAAGCCGGGTTTCACGATGGGGCTAGTTCTCCCATCTTGGCTCCAAGATTAGCTCGAGGTCCCAACGCATGGGGATGACATCTTTCTCGGTCGTTGGCCGCAGCAGCCTAGCGGAGAGACCGGCAGCGACGTCGGCATGCTGCAGCAATAGCGGTAGGGTTGTCGTGCATACGCGGGGGAACCACCACTTCCTGAATCAAGTCGTGATGATTTTGTTCGATGGACGACACACGTGCAAAAGGTGGGTGTCGATTGGAGATAGATCAAATTGCTTGGTTGGTAACAGAAAACATCTTTTCCCGCCATTATCGGAGCCGATCAATCGAACGCCAGTCCGTCAACCCGGCAGCCGGTTAGCTTTTCGGCGAATTACAAGAAGCTTCTTGTTGACGTTCCGGTGGCATAACTCTGGACGTGTGGGAATAAGAAGGAATGAGCAGAAGTTGGCGAGTCATTGGGCTTAGTCTAGCCGCCTGCGAGCCTTCAAGTGGTCTGGCGAGATGGGACGGACAGAACGACAACACAGAAGGTTTCCCAAGCGTCCCCACCATCATCGAATGGTGCACCGAGAGCCGAGAGGTTTGATCGTAAGACGCGAATGAGGTAGCCTTCGGGGAAAACTCCGGCCTCTCCCAACTGCCGTATCGCGAGGAGCCCGGATCCGTCATCTCCGTTTCGAGTATGCATGTCGGCAGCATGTACTACAATTGGTTAGTAATCTTCGGGCCGCGGGCAACCAGAGAGTTTCAGTAACGGGCTTTGAATCTGAAGGTTCGACGACGCCCCATCCGAGGCCTTCACTCGCCGCCTCCAGGAAATCGGTTGTCATCCAATGTTATGGTCCAAGTCATCCAACAAGAGGTAGGGGCAATTCGAGAGCAGGTGTATACGTGCATAGCAAGGCAGTGAAGTTGGAATATCGGATTTGCGATGTGCAGTGGGATGAGTGGAGTGGAACGGTAGGAGGCTGTGGAGTCGTGGAGGAAGATCCCAGCAGGTGGAGAATGGCATCTGTGCCCACTGCCCGCTGCCCGGGGAAGAGCTCGATGCCCACAACATCACACTTCCATCTCACGTGACAGCTTCTTAACGGCGTGGTGGGTAATATTTACAGTTGATTACAAGTTCTCCGGCCAGCTTCATCGACTGACATTATTCCCTTATATTACTATGGTGTTATTCCTTTTCATGTACAAACACGCCAAATATATCTATGTACCTGACCCCAAGTTCCCTCCTCCAAATCAACTGCAAATGCCATATCCGGGTTGGCATCCAGCACCGCAGTAGAGATCCGAATTACCACACCATCCATTTTTGCTACAGCATTGGTAGTCACCGTTGCCTCGGCAAGTAGCTATTCCTGCGCCGCACACTCCGTCTCTTGCGACCGGCAGCCCCGAACCCCCGCCGCTGCCTGAGCTACCGCCGGAACTACCACCGGAGCTGCCACCTGAGCTGCCACCTGAGCTGCCTCCTGAGCTGCCTCCCGCACTGCATGTACCGAAGCCCGGCTGGCAACCCGTTCCGCAGTAAGCACTTTCCGTCCCGCAGTATCCATATGCACTGCAGCAGTATCCGCTACCGCAAGATCCAATACCGGAACCGCAAGAACCAGGCGCGCCGGGGTTGGGCTGTGTCGGTGATGTCGGTGTTGAAGGTTGGTTAGAAGATGCTGTCGTTGTTGATGGCGCCTACTTGTTTGTCAGCTGGGTGATACTCTGTCTGGAATTCGTTCACCTACTTGGCAGCTTGCGAGTCGCGTGTCTGCTGCGGCCCCCTGCAGCCAAGTCTTCATGGTGGCCTGGAAAGATTTGCCGTTGTAAGGGTTGCTGTCACCGCGAGTTGCCTCCCAAACAGCCACACCTCCGAACGATGGCCGGCAGTAGTACGCGCTGATGAGATTATTTGCCTGCTGATGGGTGATGTAGTTCCCAGCATTGGCAGCATCTGAAGAACCAGGTAGGGTGATGAACACCTTTGCGTCTCTACTGGGGGTGTTTGATAGCCATTGAACCCAGGCATCGAACGTGAACCCGGCTTGCTGATATGTTGAACCAGGGGTGTAGGACGGATTGCTAGCCGCCCAAGTCGCAGCTGAGCAACTAGGAGTGTTGTAAAACTGGACAAAGATCATGTCGAACTTGGCGGCGGAGATCATAGCAGCCATATTGGCATCTGGAACGACGCATTGAGGAGCGCCAGTCAGATAGTATTGCTTCGAGGCTGTTGCGTAAAATGTACGCAGAAGGGTCACCAGGGCAATGTAGCCTTCCGAGTTGTCTGTAGGCAACTAAGTATCAGCTGCCACTCATGAAATGCACGGATAAGGGTACGGCAAAGATGTCAACAAACCTGTGGATGGATGCTCTATATCCATATCGAACCCATCAACCTCAACCGCTTGTCCGTTGTAATCGAATGGGCGAGGTCCTGTCCAGTTGGGGTCTTTCGGTCCGAACATGTACCACAAGTAAGTTGCCAGGAGTTCACCCTCGTTTCTGCCTGTGAGCTGGTATGATACTACGCCGCCTCCGAGCGACAGCAGGATCTTCTTGCCATACTGCTGCTGGCATACTGGAATCTGTGCATTAAGACTAGGGCAGTTTGACTGCAACTGATCCTTCGAAGGGTCGAGGACACCGTTGAAGCCAGGGCCCGGGTAAACTTGGCCGCCGCATCGATTACCAAAATTTGTTCCAGGGTATCCGTTCGCCTGGGCTGGGAATAGGTGCACGAACGAGAGGACAATTATATCGATCTCGGGCTGCTGGCATTGGCTGATCAGGTCGCCCTGATTCGGACCTTGCCCCTGTCGTGTTGTTAGCCACAGAATCATGACAACGACTTGGAAGTGCGTCTACTTACGTAGTAGACAACAACATTGTTCTTCGAAGTTGGGTCGAAAGCTGCAGAACACCATGAGACTGCTATGCTCAACAAGGCGAACACACTAAACAGCGCCATTGTAGCAAAGTGGTGTATGCGGTATCAAAGACAGACAAGTAGGAAGAAAGACACAAAAGAGGTCGACCAATTTCTAGCATCCAATGTTGGCTTGAACGCGGCAGTCTTCGTGATGCTGGAGGCAACGAGGACTTCAGTAACGATGACGTCGGCGCCCAGGTCTAGGAAGCTGGGATGGCGAGTGCACTTGCTGGCTGCTTCCTCATGATGGAAGCAATTCGAGGGTCCTTCTTGCTCTAAATAACATCTGGAAAGTACAGGGACAATCGCACCTCCCACAATCTACATCTTCCATCTTCCAAGAGCCAGGCGCGAACCCCCCCCCCCCCATCAAGACCCCTCCTTCTCTCCTGCGGTCCTGCCGTGGGCGGAAAGTGTCTAGAAAAGAAATGCGGTGGAAATAGTCCTCCCTCCCCGCTGGAAGTTATTGCGATGCAGAATTCCGCGACAGAGTCCGATGGCGTCGCCAATCCAACTTTCCCCGTCACGTTCCCTCTTTTCTACAAGGGCGACCGTTACCCCTTGACTCATCCTGCCACCAAAGCCGATAAAGGGCAAGATCGCGTGAAGAGGGGGGTTGGGCCATCCTCTACGCGACGCGTCAGAAATGTGCAGAATCTAATGGATTGACTATTGAGGTTGATTTCAGCGTCATTTCGCACGGTACCATCTTTCCTTTGTTTCGTGTGACCCCGCGATTGAGCCTTTCCGGGCGGCCGAAATGTTCGGTGCTTTCGGTGGGGCCGTGCCGCCGAGACCGCCGAATGCCCCACCGAAACCGCCGACCGAGACTAGAAGACTCCGTTCGCACACTTATTGCTGCCTGCTTTCATCAAAACTTAAAAGAACATTAGTCCATCATATTAGATGTAGTTTCACTCTGGATATCATCAAATCAAGAAGGACAAATATCAAACATGGTCTTCCCTCAGACAATGCGTTCTCTCGTCGCGCCGAAGCACTGCAGTCCAGCCGGCTGGGAAGTAGCTGAGGTGTCGGTGCCGACCATTACCAGCCCCACGGACGTGATAATTCGGGTAAAGTCTGGAGCTGTTATGACGGGCGACTGCCAGAGATCTCAGGGTTCTCCGATCGTTGCGCTACGCAAAGAAAGGTACGCTGAGCACTGGGCCCAATGGACCAACCTTCATCAGTAGGGCTAACAACTTGTTGTCTTCAGCTTTCCCATCAAGATTGGCTGCGAGGGCTCCGGAATCGTCGCAGCTGTCGGCGCGGGCGTCAAAACGCTCAAAGTAGGCGACGCAGTTTACGGACTGTGCTTCACGCGGCCAGCCTTCAGCATCCCCGACCCAGGCTTCTGCTCCGAGTACGCCGTTGGGCCTGAGAGACTTTTACTGCCCAAGCCGTCACACACGAGCTTCGAAGAGGCTGCCTCGCTTCTGGGCTACACCGTCACGGCGTACCAGACCATTAGACGCGGGCTCGTCATCGCAGGAGAGGAAACGCTGGAAGGCAAGACCGTCTTCATCCCCGGAGCTCTGAGCGGTGGAGGCTTCAGCGCGATTCAAGTTGCCAAGAACGTCTTTGGCGCCAGGAAGATTATTTCCACCGTTTCGACTCCAAAGATGAGCCTCGTAGAGCAGTATCTGCCAGGGATGGTTGATCAACTGGTTGATTACACAACCACGGACGTCGGCTCTGTGGTGCCCAAAGGAAGCGTGGACTTCATGTTCAATACACAGTGGAACACTATGGGTCCTGGAGTACCGCTTCTTAACCCCAAGGCGGGCATACTCATGTCCATCGCATCGATTCCCCCGCCAGCCTTGACGGAAGAGCTCCTGGGGCCCGCAATGGTTCCCTTCTGGGTTGTCTGGGTGTTGAAATTGGCCCAACTTTGGTACTCGTTCTTGTTACGCGGCACAAATATCAAGCATGAATTCGTGTCTGGAAATCCCGAGATCAGGGAGGACTTGGAGAAGGCTGGGGAGCTTATTGCTACTGGCAAGGTCAAGGGCGTTTTTCGAGTGGTGGAACTGGCGAACTTGAACTCGGTGAGGGAAGAGTGCGAGAAGGTGAACAGTGGGAAGGGAGGGATTGGGAGATGCATAATAAGGGTCGAGTCCTAAAGCAATGTCTCATTTGAAGCTCACAAGGAACCTTCATACCAAGATCATATACACCCTTCTATGCAGACATATAGAGCAATTGACATCTCATATCACTCTGCTCAGCATTCCCGATCAACATGCTTCATTTGATTGCGCATCAATAACCCCCATATTTATTCCTTGGAATTCAAAGGCCGTCGACAGAATGAGAAACTGCCATTGGCTTGCTATCGAAGGATTCGCGTACGTAATCGCGTCGCATCCCCAGATATGGCTCAGGTGGCGCCCATAAACAGTCAAGTTGATTCAACATCCAGTCTACTATGGTATAATCTGAGACGGTAAATAGTTCCAGAGGTTCATCGCACGACATTTTATAGTTGTAGTCATGTCAAAAGACCAATCTCTCTATCTCCCAGATGGACGCACCCTCAGCTACACCACATTTGGCATCACCCCACAATTGAACCAACCAACAATCTTCCACTTCCACGGCCTCCCAGGCACCCATCACGAAGGCCAACCCGTCCATGAAGAAGCCACCAAACGCAGCATGTGCGTCGTTGCCGTAACACGCCCGGGCTACGGCAGCTCAGCCTTCCAACCCAACCGCACAATCCTTTCATTCCCGAAAGATGTCCTTCACCTAGCAGACCACCTCAAAGTCCAGCGCTTCGCCGTGCTAGGAATCTCCGGCGGTGCTCCGTACGCCCTCGCGTGCCTTCATTCGATCCCAGCACCACGTCTTGCCGGTGTGGCAATCGTCTCCGGGATGTTCCCGTCGGAGCTTGGTCTGAGCGGAATGATGCTCATGAACCGCCTTCTCTTCAACATTGCGCCGTGGTCGCCGGGCCTCATCGAGGCCATCGCCGACTGGCAGGTCGGGAATCTCGCTCGGGATTCTGAGCACCCGGAGAGGCTCGCTCAAGCGACGGCTGATGCCTTCAAGAGTCGTCCGGTTGAGGATCGGGAAGCACTGTACGCTGGTGATGGCAAGATCTTGCGGGTATTGGAGCAGAGCACGCGCGATGCATTTCGTGAGAGTAGTCGTGGATTTGCATGGGAAGCGAAACTATTCGGGAGTCCTTGGGGGTTCGACTTGAAGGACTTGGTTGTACAGGAAGGGAAGTTGGCTATCTGGCATGCGGGTAAGGATGTCAACGTCCCATTGCGGATGGCTGAGGAGGCGGCGGGGATGATTCGAGGTGCAGAACTCAGAGTTATTCAAGAGGAGGCGCACATCAGTTTGATTTCACGTCGGATTGGAGAGGTTGTCGACACTCTTGCAAGTATGTTGGAGGCATAGAAGTTGACAGTTGCCATAATGGTCTGGAGTTTCATCTAAGCTGTTCAATGTTGCCAAGTTCCGAGCCACGCAATCAGCGTTCAGAATTCATTGGTAGGCATTGCTATCGCAAGTGATTGTTTTCTCCCCAGCTCTGCCACATACGGGGATGAGCTTCCATCTTGGGTCTTGTTGGTCGCGTCCCGGCTGCTCGCAGTCACACATCGTTGCATGTTGGCTGCGCCGTTGGAGAGTCCCACTGCGAGGGAACTGGTAGGTTTTTGATTTGCTCTTCATCCTTGTTCCATGCAGGAAAATGGAACCTGGCAAGTGAGAAAACATCGTATGAGTGATGCTGCATGCATATTCCAGGCGCTCGCACCAACAACGGTGTCTCCTCCGGCGAGGGACTCGCAACCCTTGAGAACCCCTCTTTACCCAGGTCTCGTCTACTTAAGTCACGGAGCGGCCGGTGATACTTTCATCTCAGTCTCCGATTGCGCTCCTTATGCGCGACATCTCATGATAGAGCACCAGCAGTTGACATCGAAGATGACCAACTCTTCACCCAGCCCGGTGGCGGCTAATGACAGGTCACAAACAGCATCGCCTAATCTTGAACAGCCTCTTACCTCAGCCAACGAAGCTGCTACTCTAGAGGTCGATGATACAGCTAGCGTTCGTAGCCTTGATTCTCGAGCCGATCAAGTTGGGTCAACTGACTTGGGAACTGCTTTACTCTAGGTCAACGGAACGGACTCCAGTATCAGTGATCAAATGTAGAGGCTATTACTCGTGATTTTGGTGACGCAACACTAACGCCGCAACTAGCTCGACCTACACAGCGTCTTTAACCTCCAGCGCGATAGACTATCCCACAGAATACGGCCGACGCTATCATGCATTTCGTGCGGGAGGTAAGTGACTCGATACACCTTCCTGAGTCTATTTTCGCAGCAACATGGGCTTAGGGCAAAGAGACTCTACCAGAGACTAACAGAGAATCAGCATACTTGGGACCGAATGACGAGGTATTGCGAAACCCTGAGAATACATGCGCCCAGAAAGCAAGAACGATAATTGACCAAGTACTTCGGATATACAGTTAGAGATGGACCGACTCGACTTTCATCACACCTACATGGTGAAGATCCTCGGCAGGAAGCTATTCTTGGCTCCAATTCCATCCGAGACTACCCATAGGATTCTTGACATTGGCACCGGCACTGGCATTTGTATGTAACGCCTGGGATCAAGTTGGTTGAGTATCGCTAATCAGATCAATATCCAGGGGCTATCGAGGCAGCAGACGTCTTTCCCAATGCAGAGGTACACGATCCGCTGCGCTTGTGTCCTTGGCCAACTAATTGCTCACCAAACTCTACTCTTCACAGATCTTAGGAAATGATCTGAGCGCAATTCAACCATCTTGGTAGGTATAGTGGATTTAAGGCAGTACTTCCCATTAACTGATCTTTAGGGTTCCGCCGAACGTCAAGTTCGAGATTGACGACGTTGAAAGCTCCTGGATAAACGAACAGAAATTCGACTTCATATTTTGTCGATACATGGCCGGTTCTATTATCGATTGGCCCAAGCTGATGAAACAAATCTACGCGTATGCCTCCTCCAGACTGTCGATAGGACAATACTGACAAAAGTCCTAGAAATCTCAAGCCTGGAGGCTGGGTTGAGTTCCAAGACTACGACATCAATTATGTCTCGGAGGATGGAACACTGACTGAAGAGCACCAAACCGACCGGTGGAGTAAACTCTTGATCGACGCCTGCAGGAAGATTGGTCGTGATCCCTGCATCGGACCGTTGCTCGAAGGTTGGGTCAAGGACACGGGATTCGTCGATGTCGTCCATCAGAAGTTCAAGATGCCCATCGGACCATGGGCCAAAGATCCTCACCACAAAGAAATTGGCATGATGAACCTCATTCAGCTAATGGATGGGCTGGAAGCATTCAGTCTGAGGACCTTCTGTGGCGTCCATGGATGGACCAGAGAAGAAGTCTTGGTACTGCTGGCCGAGGTGCGCAGGGAGCTCAAGGCCGGGAGCTTCCATGCCCATACTGCGATGTAAGTCTCCTTTCAATTGTTTCGACTAGTCCTTATTTATGGGAGAGTATACTGACGCAGTCTTTAATAGCCACGTGGTTTATGCACAAAAGCCTGAAGAAAAGGAGGAGGAGGAGGCCTCGTGATCGAAGGGGAGTGGATGGCATAAATAATACATGGGCGGGGCTGATTGCTTCCCCGGGGTTTACTCGCACTCAATTCTGTTCCAGCGCATAAACTACAGTCGTTGATTAAAGAATAATCATGATTGCGAAACTCAATCTTGTGCCACAGTGTGGCTCGCATGTCATGCCTAGAGCATAATCGCCTTGAAATCGCGCGCGATCGAACTCAGAATGCGGGTGAACTAGCGTCTGCCCAGGGCAATTCCGGGTGAGACATCACATCTGCTAACGGGATCTCGAGGTATGGTGCTCATTTATAGGTACCGGATGGAACCGATGAAGATCCCGCTCCGGCCAACTAGGCCCGATGCGTCTTCAAGCCCGCTCCCGCTCAATCCATCTGCTTGATATTCCAAGCCATCGACGCCCTGGTTGCTGTTTGACAAGAGTCTCGCCCCAGACACCTCACCGAAACCGAAGCATGGTGGCCGGAATCAAGCGAGCCTGTCAGCCTGGGGGAGGTGGCTCTTTGAGCAGCCACGCCGCCGAGATGGACCCTTTTGCAGCCATGTCTCGTGGGCTTTTTGGTCTGGAATGCGTAATTCTTGTTGCCAGAGTGCAACGGGTAGATGGTTTTAATGGAAGACCCCCTCTCGAACCTGTCTGTTGGTGCTACCCTGTCTCTTGAAAGTGTTTTTAAGGTATGACAAAAACCGTCAAGGACGCGCCATATTCGATTTCTTGGCGTTCACCAGAGATCAACTTCGAATTTGCTTATCACAGCCACGGCCGTTGATTTACATCATGCGGGCAACCTTGGTGGCCCTTCTCGTCGGTGTGACAACAATCTTCGCCCAACAGCCAACTCTACCCGATGTTCCCGGTCTTTCACTCGACGATAATCCCCCATGCGCTGTAAGAAGACTGGAAGCACCCCATCGGCGACTAGATACGGCGGTGTTAACATGAAGTGAAGCTGCCTTGCCTCCTGGGAGGCCTCAATCAAACGAACTGCCCCACCAATGACCAAACATGTCTGTGTCAGGACGACGACTTCATCAAATTTGTGGAAGGATGTGTTGTCATGAGCTGTCCGCTCAAGTACGCCATCAGTAGGTTGTGGTCCATCGATCGAAAGGTATCTGTCTGACATGCACTTTAGTCACTCAAAACATCACATGGACCGCATGTGATTTCCCTCTACACAATGAGGTGCCAGCAACAAAAGTCACTCGGATTGTTCTGTTTGCGATGCTTCCAACACTCGCCATTATTCTTCGGCTAATAACGAAGTTTGCTCGGCTATCACCGTGGGGTTGGGATGACTACACTATCATTGTGGCATACGTAGGTCGCTGACCAGTTCTGAAAGGCCTGACCAAGACATTAAGATGATATTTGAAGATTCTACTTGTGGCGTACGTGTCTTTACACGTCTTTCGTAAGCTACGCAGGAGATCCTCACCAGCGAAAATGTGCTGACATTATTGACCAGTCGAGGATAACGGTGCTGGGAGAGATCTATGGACTCTCAGTGATTCAGAAATTACCCATTTCTTCAAGGTATTCAACACCTGCCGCTTCTGCGCGGACGTCCTACAATCTGCACGACTTGCACCTGGGGCTATAATTGCTGACATCAAACCTTTACAGGGCTTCTACGCACTACAAACTTTATATCATTCATGCATCGACATCATCAAGGCATCGATTCTCTTCATGTACCTCCGAATCTTCCACCTGCCCGGCGAAAAAATCACCATTGCTTTGTGGGTTACGCAGGTCCTTAACCTCATGAATGGCATCATCTTCATCTTCGTTGGCCTGTTCCAGTGCAATCCCGTGAGTCTAGCATGGACATTCTGGACAGGGGATGCGACTGGAAAGTGTATCGATATCATCTATCTCGCGCTAGCACACGCAGGTATCAACATTGCGCTGGACGTTTGGATGCTTGTTCTTCCTCTGACACAAGTTTGGGGCATGAATCTGGCTCGCCGCAAGAAGTTTGCTATCATGTTCATGTTCAGTCTTGGTCTGTTGTGAGTAGCTCAACATTCATATCATGAAGCATCGTGAGTAACTAACGCATTCGGTTCAGTCTCACAGTTGTAAGCTGCATCCGGATCAAAGCAATCTTAGATTTCAGAAAAGATCCGCTCAACCCTACCGGTAAGCTACTGATCGCTTCGCTCCACATGATGAAGCCTTAGTACTGATACGTCTCTCTTCTTCGCAGTGGCCATGATGCCCAGCGTCATTTGGACGGACCTTGAGCTGTACGTCGGAATTTTCACGGCTTGCATACCAACTCTTCGTCAATTCTTTGTTCGGTTCATTCTTCAACAGTCAGAAAAGAAGAAGCGCTTGAGTTCAGCTGCGGCTGAGTACAGAAGCTCAATTCTCACGCCGAAGAAGGGCGGGTCGCAGCAAATGAGCGAGCTCGACACCGTAGATGAGAGCAGCCACAATAATTCTCCATAAAATTGTAAGATCATTATTGTTGCGCTCTCCCCGTCCGTACGTATTTTACATAGGCAGAGACTTGGTGTTGTCATATGTACCAGTAGATACAATGATTCAAAGTTGCCATTCACTTGGCAAGAAGATGAGCCGCATTTTCCTGGGGCTATCTTAGTTCTCTGGAAGGCTCCTTGGCGAGGTCCTATGATGTCCCTCGACTATCGCATGAATCTGATCAATTGCACGTTGCCACCACCTGAGAATCTATGCTGACGGATAGAAAAGTAACAAGAAAAGTGCTTATATTCAGAAACTCATTTTGCTAATCGTGTATTACTGCTTCAAAGAGTACTTATTCATTATAGGATGAGATCTAAGGTATTGTCCTGGAGTGACCGAAGATAAATGGGCAAGTGGAAGAGAAAGAAGAGGTCAAACAGTCGTCATAAAGAAGTGGATTATGAAGGTGCATAAGAGCCACCATTCAGGAGCGATCAATCGGTTATACGTAGAAGTATACGGGTCAGATCTCGCTATGAACGATACCCTTGAGTGGATTGAGGAAACCCGTTTGTTGCGATGGAGGCTTGAAAGGGGGGAATGGTCGTGGTGTCGCCCTGACCAGCGAGAGTCAGAATCGCTTCTGTTTCCCTCGGCATCATCATCGATGCTTCTTCACCGTTGTACAAGTCCTCTTCGATCTGATTCTCAAATTCATCTTCATCTAAGCCCTCGAGGATTTCAATGGATTGATCATCTTCCCAGGCTTGTGCATCGTCATTTTCTTCGGCCCAAATCATTCTGCATCGTCTTTTGGCCTGGGGCATGCCGGGTAACACATTGTCGCGGTATGCTCTTGGAATTTGACCGACACCATTACCCTCTCGAATCTTTTTGTCGTCGTACTCTGTACTATTGAGCTCGCGGAATTCGTACGGCGGCTGATTCTTGCGTTGCTGCAGAACTCGCCTTAACAGCGTGAGATCTGGCAAGCCCCTATAACTTTGCGTGTGTTGCGCAAGGTCAGGATGCTGCCCGGCGGAGTAAAACTCGTCGTTGGTCAAAAGAACCCATCCAGGGTCATCAGGCGTAAGATCTTTGGGCCAGCATTTGTTGTCCCGAAGGCCGTACCACTTTGTGTCTTTTGGGAGACCATCCCAGTCGGTGATTTTGAAGATAGCTCTTGCTGTTTCGATGGAAACCCAGCTGGTTACCGCTGGAAACCACATCGGTCAACAAACTACACAGGGATGGTTACGGGGTTAAACCCACTAGTTGTACCGTCCACGCCTTTAGCAGTTCGACTATTGGCGTTGACGGTCCTGATGAACTTGCTCTGAATGAAAGACGTCACGGTACTGGTGCGGGTAGTCGAAGATTGAGCGCCATTCTTGTTACAAAACCCACGCCACATGGCTCCGGCTTTACGGTTCTCATCGTATGGGAGGAAACGAATTCGTTGCACCATGCCTTTCTCTTCTGCTTCATTAGCCTTGGGCCAAAAGTAACGAGGTGGAAACTCGTCTCTGTCACAGCCAACAGCCATCTCGTTTCCGTATTTATCCTTCTTCGGCAGACCGTTCGCATGCCTCAAAACACGACGTGGCACAAAACCGTTAGCCCATGGCCATCCCCAGTGCTGGTTGGTAAGAGCCAATGCCGCTATAGCCGTCGATCCCCAGACGTCGGTGGCTGAGCCGTCGTTGCTGGTCGATTGAGTTGCACCGCAGGTCCACTCAGTCATGGACCTTGTGTTTCGGTGAATTTCCATGACTGACCTGTATATCTATCAGCTCCTGAGGACACGAGCTCGCGGAACCTAGGAGTGAGGCTGGAGTTTGACCACTTACGAGTAATGGTAACAGGCTTGCGACCATTGCTTTCGACACTTGATATTGGGGACTCCAGTCTCGTAAAAGCCTATGGGCTTGACAGTCTCCGTCAAATGAACAGTAATACTCCGCATCTGCGTTCTGAAGTTTCGGCATCACCTAAGACTCCTATCCTCGAGAGAGGCCTCGCTGCTCGAGCAGCTAACGCGCAAGCTAGTTCAGATGATACGGTCGAAGATACCGAGCTCGTCGATTTCGCATGTACATGTGTGGTGGATGACTCGCCAGGATTCTCTGTCCTCGTCTTATCTTCTGGGCTGTCTGGCTTCCTTGTCGGGTCAGGCTTAGACTCCATCCTCTTACAAGCCGTTTTATCTTTCTTGTGGCAGCCGGTGCTGACCCCCATAGAGTCAGGCGCGTTGACTAAGGCCCCAAAGAGGTCAAACTTCCAATCACGAACTCCACATGCAGGCCCAACCCAGTCACCAAAGAAGGAAGCGGCCTCTAGCCCGTTCTCGGCAAAGGTTTTGGCTCCTTGAACGGCGGCTCTAGCTCCGTTAAGAGCGGCACCTCCAGGGATGAAGTTTATGCCGACATCGATGATGGACTGGAACGCTTCCAGCATCGCTGCGCAAATAATCTTATCGAGGATAGCGAGACCTTCAACGACGATATTGAGGAGTTCCTCGGCAACCTTCAAGTCGCAAAAGCATTTGGCTGGAACCCATTGATTACCGTCGGCATCCTTCTGTATTAGAGACGCGTCGATATGCTTTCCCTGATATGGGGTACCGTCGCACTATTTGACCCTCGTAAGTAGGATTATTCGAATCTATCCACAAATATGTATGTGAGCTTACCCCATAACTATCCGAATCGGAGTTCTTCTTGCACCACTGCTGGCATAGTGCCACTGACTTGTCCCTGTTTTGCTCGGCGCTTACGTAGTGGAAACACTGGCCAGTACTTTCGTAGATCGCCAGTAAAGCTTTATCAGAATCATCCGGGAAACATGTAACAACACCGACCAAGGTGTTGAAAACCAAGATTATGATGAGAAAGATTTTCATGATTCGACGGAAGAAGAGATAGGTTGAAGCTAGGTTCTCCGATACGAGCGTTGTGTCAGACTCTCAAGGCATTTGCTGCAAGGCAGACTTTGCCGCTTGATATTTGTACCCAAAGTATTCGACATATTGTAGACAGATGGTCATCAGCCCATGCTAAATTTAGACCATCTCGTATCTTGCAACGCATGTTGAGACTTTAAGGCCATTACCGCCCGCTGAATCGCGATGTTGCCCCCATCTTGATTGGCCAGGGGGCTATTGGGTCGAAAGGGGGGCATGGTTGAGGCATGGGCTGGTCACATTTTAAAGAAAAGAAGTTTAAGGGGGGATAGTATCAGAAATGATGGTATCATAGCATAAAGCTCAACGCTTGCAAATCCTTTTTCTTAGAGTGCCTGGCTTGTGAGCGTGGTAGTTTATCTCGAGATCACACTACGAGGACTTACTCAAGTCGAATGTGAATTCTTTCGTTTCCTTTCGGAATCTGATGCCTCGAAACCACGCACGCTTCTCCAGAGAGTCATGGTCTACCTAGTGTAACTTGTAAGTTTCAGCCAGGAATTCTAACATGATCTGGGTGGTTATGCTGAACCGAGACACGTACGTTGAACTGGCGGTGGCAGGACGAGATGTTGTCATGGGCCAACCATCGACGCAAACGAACCTGCACTTGCACCAACACTTACGCCTACATCGCAAACACCAAGTCTTATGGGGGCTATACGTTGGATGGAAATCACTGCGATTATTGCCAACCACTAACCGGCCTTGACATTCAACATTGGATCTCATGTTGGCCCTTTCATCTACTTGTTACCTCTTTCCCGACTCGAGAAAGTAAGGTACCTTACGCAAGGAACGAGGGGGCCAAAGGCTTATATTCAATCCCAAAAGAGACAGACCTACCTTCGTTCGAACATGGGCTTACTCTCGATATGCGTTTTTGACTTCGCAAGTGTACCTCTGCCGACCCCCCGTTGGCCGGGCGGCAGGATCCAACCCAAAGTTTGCCAATTTGGTACCAACAACGGCAACAAAATTGGCATGAAGGAATGAACACCAACACGATCTACCAACAGCTCGAGGACCCCACATCCCCCGTCTCAGAGCGGATTCTGAAATGAGGCCAAGCTTTCCCCCCCTTTTCTCGCGTCGTGAATGACCTTCGTCAACGATGATTTACTTCAGTTATAGCTCCTTCGTTGCACCCTCCATGTAGGATTCTGAGCTGACGACCATCATCGTCTCCTACTCTCATCTCGTCATCTTCCATTACAACCACCAGCCAAAACTCTTTTCTTCACAATCATGGCTCAGTCTTCTTCCGACTCCTCTCAAGCAGAATACTCTCACGAGGCCACTGTGGCTGCCATCACATCCTACTATGAACTCCTCGCCCGCGTACACCCTGACAGTGTCTCTTCTCTCGAGTACCCTCCCTCCGGAGGATGGCCTCAGATCACGCCCGAGTCCTTCTCCATCTTGGGCCGGAATAATACCGTCATTGAGTTGATGCGGCACATTCCATATTTCACAAGCGATCGGATAAGCTTCATGAAATCAACTACACCCCGTAACTTCGCAGATTCATCTTTCTGCAGAAGGACCCATGAAGAAAGCCGCGTGTATAATGAGGAAGTGCGGCCTGTCCCTCAGGACAAGATTGGTGCCAATCCTGGCTACTCTCCCGAGGGCGGAGGAGTGCCGATCCCATCCAGCATGTTCACCTTGGCGATGCTGGCCGAAGAGAAAGAAGAGGGCTATGATATCCTTCTCGATACGGAACACAATATCGTCATTGTGGTCAGAGTTGGAGAGGAATTTCCACACGGGTGGCCACCAGTCCCTCCCGATGCCAATCATATCAACTGGGGCGGAGACGACAAAGACGAGGTAGAAGGAGAGAAAGAAGGTGAAAGTGATGGAGAGGATAGTGAAGACAGTGAGGAGGATGTCGACCTATATCTACTCGGTCATGATTGGAGATATTCGCCGACTTATCGCATCCATACATTCTTCAACATGTGTCAAGAGCAATGGAAGGTTATGGACTGGATGCCAAAAATGGAATGGGCTGGCCAGATTGAGGAGGGATACCGGTCCGCAGAAACAAAGCTTGACGAGACATACGGCGATGGTCTCAGGCAAAAGATCATGCGGGAAGCTGGCTGGCCCGGTACAGGGGAGGCAGTTGGTATGGGATGGGACAAGGCGAAGGCAGAGAAACAGATGATTGAGCTCATGTAGATTTTCAACGGTGGCAGTTCCTACTCTCTGATCGGTAATATATCTGTGGGATTCAGCATTATTTCGGCGCCGGTTGTATTTGTTCTAGTCACCGTATGAAACTGGCGGATCGGGACCGCTGACCAGGCTCCGGGCCGGACGTGGCGCGTGCACGCGCGGGACGGAGCGAGCATCCGCAACGGCAGGTGAACACAGCTTCCGTTGCGATGGAAGCATCCATACATCACGGGATTTAGTATTCAGCTTCCGTGAAGCATCTAACCTCATGAATACGTTTGCTGCTCTGGTATAGTTGGGGAAGCGTCTAGGGTGTGAATTTGCTGTCGTCTTCGCTAAAATCATGCATGCATCGTTGCTGAGTCAGTCCACTGCCTTATCGCTGAGGTCCTTAGGTAAGCCCAGACCACTTAAAGTCCAGCGGGGCTATCACGTACATAACGCGCCTCAACCATCAAGAGACGCGTCGCGCCTGGCACTCCTTAGCATCATTCCATTTCGCATACTCAACTTGCCACAGGCAAGTAAAGATATTCCACTCGATCTGATCCCCGTCGGCCCGTACCATCCTTTTCCGACTCTGATACAAATAAAACATCATCAACTCGATCATTCTGCCCCGGTTATCTCAGGCAGCACCGAAATTACCGCCTTATACTTCCAAGAATTCTACCTGGATCTCCAGACCAAGATGGCTCTCAAGCGCAAGCGCTCCGAATCCGAACTCGTCACCCTCTTCCCCTCGCCCGCTCGCTCCGAATCCAGCATCGAGTCCTTCGAGTCACCAATCTCTCCGAGCCCCATCTATCCTCGCGCACACGCGACGCCATCGCACCTCTCCAGTCGCACAATGAAGCGCTTCCGCGACAACAGGCCCTCAGAGGAGCAAATCCATCGTAAGTCCAGTCAATGGCGTCTGTCAAGACGAACAACGCAGCTGACAGCATACCGCAGAACGTACTCTAAACATGCTTTACTCCGCGCAGCAACGCAACCAGTACCCGGCAGACCACGAGACGAACCAGTCCGAATCCTCACCCGTTCCTGCAACCCGCAACACCCAGAAGTCCCTTCACAGCTTCTGGAATATAAAATCAGCCGAGCCCAAATTCCCCGCCTCGGCCCCGTCCACGGACCAGGGTATGCTGTCGCCGATGAGCTGCGACGACTGTGGCGCTGGTCTCGGTGCCTCGGATGGCGCTGCGGACGGGATGGATATCGACGATGGCTACAGCTACGGCGTTGATCACTCTTGCGGTGCGTGCGGTAGGCACGTGTGCTCGCATTGCTCTGTTACAAACCTCGGCGAGCAGCGGCGATGCTTGAGGTGTGTTGGAGTTGCAGTGGGGGTGGCACAAAACGGCTCTGGATGGCCATCCTCGTCGATGTCTATCTTCTAAATTATCCTAGCCGGGCTGCTTCTGGGCATCATTCTTTTCGGTGGCGCATTGGGTTATACACATTAACGACATGCCATGCCATGACAATCTGGTGTGTATGGTTCTGGGGATAGGCGTTTTTGGCTTGCTGTAACATAATTCTCTGGTATTGGCGTTGGGGCATTTCATCGTTCAGGAGATACCATAGGATATCGTTCATTACAATTCGATTTCAATTTGCGCTTTCGCTGAATTGTCAGCTCATACTTAGCCGCACGAGCAACTGGCGATGCTACGTACTGCGTCTGAGGCACCATGCATGTTATGGACCGCGCCTCTTTAGGGGATGCCACATAAGAGTGGCACTTTGGCAGCGTTATCCAAATCGATCAGCACGAAGGTTTTCAGATAACCAATCACTGTATCATTCAGGGGGGAATGAAGTCGTTCAGTCCAATGATATCCCAGTGGAAGGCCAGAAAACCCGGCCAAGGCGTGTGGCTAGGTGCAGTCGCCTGCATACGACGTTCTGAACCAACAGACGACGGCAGCAGCCTATCGCAACAACTTTTGCCGCAGAGATCCGTTCTTTCCCCTCTTTCCGATAAACTCCTAGAAAGCGGCCTAAACCTGAGCGACCTAAACCTGCAAGGTTTCCAACATACCTAAGTGACGGACGGTTGCTGCTCAACGATGTGAAGAAATCAATAGACAACGCCCTACCCTTACTCACAAGGCGCCTCTGTCACTTACATTTATTTCACATCAACAAACGATGGCCGAAGCAATTGGTCTCGCGACGAGCGTTATCGCCGTTGCCGAAGTCATGGGCAAGGCCATAGGCCTCACTCTCAAAATCAAATCGCTCTGGCGCGAGGTCAAGAACGTCCCAACAGTTCTTCTCGAAAAGGCCGAAGAGCTCCAAGATCTCGACGACTATCTCAAAGATGCCGAAGCTCAGACTGCGGGCAGTCCGATATCCAAATCGATAATCAACGATGAGATTATGCAGAAGTCGCTCCGGCGAGCCCGCGCCGCATTGGCAGACATACAGAACACAATCGATGGCCTCGGCCTTCAGATGTCTGATCCGCGGAAGCACCGACGCAAGTTGACTGCTGCAATATTCATCTTACAGAAAGATACAATAGAAGACATGGAACGAAAACTCGATCGAGCTTTAGAGCTTTTCAAGGTGGCTCAAGGAATCTATTGCACGTAAGTCAAATACTTGAGTACTGAATTCTTTCTAGAGCTTAGCTGATCCGAGGTGAGCAGAAACTTGACCATGCTTTCCACGTCCATCATTATGGACCAGCTCCCCAAATGTTTGAGTTCTTCAAAAGTCACCAAAAGTTCGTCTCATAAAGTCAAAGTGACAGAGTTTGTTGAACAACACAAGCCATTTGTGGCTAATATAGCTGGCAAAGACAATCTTGGCATATCTCAAGGCACGACCGCAATTGGAAGACTTCGTCTTGGTTTTGGAGACAACAACTTCCAGATTTCACTCAGATCACCCAGTTGGCTCGGCAATAAAGTGTACTCCGCCATGTGCCACAAGAGCATGATCGGGTGGCAAATCCATCTTACAGCCTACGTGGTAATCAAGTCGTTCCGCGGTATTGAAGACTCTGTGAAGTCCGATAATCCGCAGGCTCTCATGAAACATCTGCGATCAACATCACTTACACCCTTGGTTGAAGACGCGAATGGGCAAAACTTGTTATATGTACGTAGAGTCATCTACCCGCTCGACCAACGAAACGTGATTTGACACTAATTTGATGTAAGCTTTGCGCCGAAAACCGTTGGCTTAATATTGCGAAATGGCTTCTTAGCTTTGGGCTGTTTGCTGGTTCTTACAGCAGTGAAGAGAATAATTGTTTAGAGTTCGTGACAAGGAAGTATCATTCTACGGACGCGAATATGCTGACATATTGCAGGGACTCGAGATCAAGAACCCTCATCTTTGAGGCTGACAATAAGTTGTGGCATCCTCCAAACTCACATATCCCACCCGACTTTATTATACTTTTCGCTTTACAAGCGCCGGATGGAGACACTGGTGTATCAGTTGAGTCGATGGGGTTCATTGCAGGCCTTACAGACTTCGACAATTTTACCAGGCTGCTTCAATCCAAGTCTCCAGCGTCCAACCCAAAATGGTATTACCTTGCGTCTAGACTTCGCTTTGCGTATAGCGGAATTCGTGGCTCCGTCTGGACATTGAGTCAACTTACTGCTGTCCTTCCGGAGCTCAAAAGCCTCACAAGAGAGCTCGTGGTGTCCTGGCGGCTCGCAGGGAGGAAATATCTCATACCAAGCCTCGTTGCGTCAGGGATCGGGGCACGGGCTTCTCGAGCACCGCGTGGTGATCCTGCCTATTCACATTCTGTTAACGAATATGCGCGCCTAGCCGGCCAGATCATCGCACTGGATCCCGAAAGCCTCACACAAGCTGCCACCACGCGCCACAGAGCATCGAGTGCGCTACACATGCTGATGAGAACGCTGCTTAGCAATTTTCAGCCCTGCTCGACAGATCAGGCAGACTATATTATACAATCAACTTTACAAGTCTGGGTGAAGATGCTGCATGGCAACAAAGTGAATCTGCTACATCATGGCCGTCAGTCGCGAACGACCTACACCGTCCCAAGGCGTCATGTGCCCCCTGGATGGTCGTTTCGGTTGCTTCAGAATACCAACGAGCCGCGTAAGCGCAATAAGAAACGTGATCGAGAGTATCGAATTGAATATATTGGCATCACTTACGGTTCTTTGCCTGAACATTGGAAAGTATGGTGGGGGGTTGACTTTGAGGGTTATGCGGGTGAGTTTTGGAGAATGCTCGAAGATTCTGGGATTAAGATTCCAGGAAGCTGGGTGGATGACGCAGTTTTTGACGATGGATCGGCCAAACTTGTGCCATCATGGGTGCATGAGGGAACTGGCTCGTTGATTTGGTCTGAACATCGCAAGATTAGGCCACCTTTATAGGGGCACATCGTTCTTGGAAGCGACCTCCGTCAACATACTTCTGTTTGTCAAAGCATTCGCCCAAGCATAGAGCAAACTTCCGCACCAAAAGGATGAAAAGCTTTACCAAAGACTTCGACCTTCCAAAAACGCAGCACCGATATTCTAGAGCATGCAAGATGATCAACACCGCTGGGTGCTGTAGATATGGCATCTAATCAGTTGTACATGTCAACATCGTCCCCCCTTCTTTCCAGGCCCTCCCATTAAACTCTATTCATTGTACTGGGCGCTCTACACATCAATCGAAAAATAAGTAGAGAGCCAAAGAACTCCAAGACAATATAGGAGCACTGAAGAGGCAGTTTATAGAGGAGGTAAAAGAGACTACTGTTGGCTTATCACAAATCTCCTTTGGAAAAGCCGTGAGGCTCAGCCACGGTAGTGAGTTGCCTTGTGTCTGCCCAATGCAAACGCCAGTCAGCTCTGAACAGGATAAGATGGTGTTGAGGGCGAAGCGATCGAATCAAATGATGGAAAATCCAGACGCAACCACATGCATGGCGCACCATGCTGGACCAATGAGCCCAGCACCGCCTCATGACACTGAGGTTCATAAGGCTACTGACTCTGCCCTCCCCCTCTCGTTCAACCTTTCTCCTCTTTTCTCTCCGAATCTTACTGTGCTAGACAAAGTCCCAAAGCATTCATTCTTTTCTCGTTCCCTGATCACTTGCGGTTTTATTTCTCAGCGCTCAAGTCCTCGGTGACCTCTCACTCTTAATCGGTAAAAGCGAAACTCGACACTCAGCTTATCAATATGGCGGAAGCTCTAGGCCTAGCTGCCAGTGTCATTGCCGTGGTCGACGTAACCGCTAAAGTCGGGAGTGCCACGTTCAAGCTCATGAAACTGTGGAACGAGGTAAAGGAGGTACCAACAATGCTCTTGCAGAAAGCAGAACGTATCAGAGACCTGGAAGACTTCCTTCTCGATGCCGAAGGCCACATTCGAGATAGCCCGCTGCCGCAAGCCTTCTGGAATACGAACCACCGCTTGCAGCAACATATTGAAAAGGTCCGCCGCGCACTTGATGAGGTTCAACAACTAGTGGACGATCTACAAGCTAAGTCGACTGCCCGAAAAGACGGCTTCAGAAGCAAGCTGTTGTCAACCAAGGTTGTGTTCCGGAAAGAGGAGTTGAAAACTTTGGACGGGAAGCTTGATGCAGCTCTTGCTCTTTTTTCCATCGCACAGATGCAGTGGATTATGTGAGTTCCTCCCTTTCATACTCCTATTTTAGGTTCGGTTTTGTAACCAGACATGTTCAGGGCAATGTCGGCATTTAGGACCTCAATGAGCATCCAGCCGCGATCTGAAAGAACAGCTACTTCAAACACACCGACGGTGGAAAAGAAGACAAAGACAGTGCTGGCATCCACCACACCCGCTCTCTTCTACATTTCTACCCCGGCTTCGATCTTGCCTACCTTTCGATTTGGGTTTGGAGACAACGAAAGCTTCCAATTCTCTATCCAGGCGCCAAGCTGGCTCGCTGGGTCTGTCTACTCACTCATGGCCCAGAAAAGCTATCAGGGTTGGCAGCTCAACCTCAGAGCTTACGAAGTGGTAAAATACTTCAGCGACGAATTATATGACTGCATCGAAAATGACAACCCCTCTGGAACTCTCCGAGTGCTCTCCAAATACAACATGACTCCCTTCGCAAAAGATCAATTTGGAAGAAGCCTGCTACAGGTGAGAGTATTCGCTCTCACGGTGATATCGAGATTTGGTGACTGATGAGGCCGAGTCAACCGCAGATCGCAGTCCAGAAGAAATCTGTCGGAGTAATCAAACTTCTCCTAGATAAAGGACTTGCATGTTTTCTACAAGACCCGTGGAGTAATTCAGTCGAATGTAATAGGTAATAACTTATTTCCTTATGCTGTGACACCGAGAATACCATGTTAACATTCTTCACAATGTATAGATATCCCTTCTTACTTTACCAACTCAAATCTTTGGGCCAGCCATCTCGATATCATGATTTAGAACCTACGCTACGAAGGCTGTTTCTAGATAACTTCCTCGATGATTTCCTCGAAGATTCGAAGCAAGTTTCAGTTCTCCTTGAATTCGGCATCAGTCTATCTTTCCTTCGATTACTTTTGAAACGCAATAACCACATGAACACATCGTTTTCCTTTCTCACACGGCTGTTCCACTTCAGACTAGTTGCAGTCAATTGCAGCTGGGAGGCGTGCGAAATTTATTCCATATTCCCAGAAGCTCGATGCCTTGACGCACACCCCGGAATACTTGCCTATTCCAGAAACATCAAGGGATACGCCCTATTTCACTCATTCGTCATAGGAATGGCCGGCAACTTTACAAGAAAGAGTTGCCACCCAAATCCTGATCAGTGGGCCGTATCAAGAGATCTATGGAAAAGATTACTCCATGACAGCATCAGGTTGGACTATTCAAGTCTACACCATATTGATAGAACTTCAGTTTGGTCAAAGAATAAGTTCATGAGCTCACCCCTGATCGCAGTCATCAACTCAGTGATGGCTGCGGATTATTCGATTTTATGCACAGCGGAACAAGTATGCAAATCATTGGTAGCAACACTTTCCGAGTGGGTCACGATACTCTCCTCCAGCGATGTAGAGCTTCTGGACTACGGGCGTGAAGAGAGGCACATGTACGAGCAGGGTCTTACAGCCGTGTCGCAACGATGGGCTCCTTGGAATTATGAAAGTAGAGGTACAACTCGATTTTCTCTCTTAGGTATCACCTATGGCTCTAGTCCAAGCCACTGGAGGCTATGGTGGACGTATGAGTACGAAGATTACGCTGGGGAGTTTTGGAACATGATCCAAGATGAGGCAAGCAAGGTGCCTGGTGCCTGGGTTGATGACTCTTGGGACCCAGATGACTATCGAGAAGAGGTGTGGGATAGGTTGCAAGCATGGGAAGATGAGCAGCCCATCCCGTTGATCTGGTCCGAGCATCGCAGAGTTCGGCCGCCAATCTGAGTTAGTACTCAAATCACCAAATCAGTCGTAAGACACGCAGCTGGCCCCTTGTGGAGTCATCACTCTTGAAGTAAATTTGAGGTTTGAGGTTTCTCATACAATGCTTTTTCCCCTATCAAGGCCCGGCTATCACCAAAGTGTCTCCGATTGCATCGATGGGATCCAGTGCACAAGCTAAGAGGTAGTGGTGTACCTCAAGGTCAGGGCAGAAGTCAAAGGGTCTCAGCGAGTAACCGTCGAGTGAACATCGCCCCGATAATTGCATCAAGCAACTTGTCCGCTGGAGTCGCTGAAGTCGGAGTGCTATGTTTGGAAAAACCGTGCACGGTATGCAACTTGAGGGAAAAGTCTCTTTACCGGGAGCCCCCAAATCCCAAGCTTTTGAACAATTTGAGGACAGTGTTTCTCAATTCATTGGCCAAGACCAGGTTGAGCTCTGTTGCCTTTCCATCGTAGCTGGAATTGCTTCTTTTTCCAATCATCTTCCAGATTTTCTTGACCTTGTATCTACATTGCACCAGTCTAACAAGGCCAAATTTGGAGACTCTATCGTCACGTGCAGCTTGTCGGCCTGACGATCGCACCTTCCTTGCTGGGTACCTCACCTCAGGTACCTTCCGTGAGCTACTGCCAAATCTTGGTTGGAATCGACTTTCTCGCTTCTCACATTGTCTCATACAACAAACTCACAACATCATCCACTCGCTCACGTCTCTTCCCTCCTTTCTCAATTCGCACCGACCTGTACTGGCTGTCCGGCATCCAATTCCGCTCATTTTTCATTTGGCCCTGGATTGAGATCGCGGATCCAGGCCCACAGACTTCTCTACCCTAGCTTCTCTCTATCCCCCTGACGGAAGACATTCACAATGCTCGGCTGGTGAGCTTTGCCAACAAAATTTCTTGATATCGCCAAGCATTGCATCGCTAAACAATTCATCTCTAGGTATCAGGCAAGGCTCGCGGCTCGCCCGCTGCTCACCCAGAGCATCACCACCGCCATCCTCTTCGCGACCGGTGACATCACCGCCCAGCAGCTCGTTGATAAGCGCGGCCTCGAGAAGCACGAATGGGCCCGCACAGGCCGCATGGCCCTCTACGGCGGTGGTAAGCTCCACCTCACCTCACCTGCACTCAGAGAACTCACACGCGACGACGCCTTCATGGCCGACCTGAGCTCTGGCCAATGAATTCGATCTCACTGACCAAATCTTTCCAGTCATCTTCGGCCCCGTCGCCACAACCTGGTTCAAGTTCCTGCAGAACAACATTGTCCTCAAGAACAAGAACGCCGAGATGCTCGCCCGTGTCGCGGTTGACCAGGGTGTTTTCGCCCCCGTCATGATCAGCGTCTTCCTCTCCTCCATGGCCACGCTCGAGGGTGGCTCGATCAAGGAGAAGCTCGATAAGAACTACAAGACGGCGCTCACGTCCAACTACATGCTCTGGCCGTTCGTCCAGGTGGTGAACTTCAAGTTCGTGCCGCTTCACCACCGTGTGCTCTTTGTCAACGTCATCAGCATTGGCTGGAACTCATATCTCAGTTTCTTGAACAGCCAATAGATGGCTGCTGGGGACTGGGTAGCAAGATGACCGCAAGGTGATTGTCGCCAATTGAGGGAAGCAGTCTCAAAGACGACTTGGGGGAACTGAGACTCGCGATGATTCCAGCGTCGTATAGCGATTTGTGGCTTCAGTTTTCGAGCATTAGAAGCAGGATAGACGGGATTGAAGTGATCAAAAGATGGTCATGGGCAGGGCCAGTGGGAATATACTTCACCATGCTTATTCTATCTGTGCCTAAAGAGTTGCTTCAAAGCAATGTGGTAATAAGGCTGCTAGCCATTGAGGATCCGAAGCACTTACCGGTTCAGGCTGATCAAAGTACTCCGTGTCATAATATCAGGAGAACACAAAGTGAAATTTGCCTTACATGAACAGTCAAAAAGAAGTCACTGTAAGGTAGTTCAAAGGAGGCCTAGGACCCCCAGGCTCGAATCCGCTAATGAGCGAGAGATGCGGGGAAAGTGAGGAGCTCCAAGTTTCCCACGCCGTACTTATACCTCATCAACATCTTAAGTCTCCGTAAGGTAAGGGCAATGAGATATCTGACTGGGGCTCATTGCATGACAACCAAGTGGAAACACTTAGCTCATAGTTCCGCGCTTGCTATCTCTCATCGCACCACTCGCAGCAATAGATAGCTGAGCTACTGCCGTCCCCTCATTCTCCCCACCCTCAACCGGGATCCTTCGGCGACGGAGTCGGCCGCTGCAACGTTGCAAGTCAGCCTGGTGCCGAACGGCTGAAAAGCACCTGAAATTGTTGCCGTAAAGTAACAAAACTGATCAAAATCTTCTTGATACACGGAATCTCCAGCCCGAAGGCAATTGATCAAACGCACTCACGCAAAGATGACCGACTCTAGCTTTCTTGATCACCTCAACCGAGACGGCTTCGTCGTAATCCCTTCAATCCTCACCGAATCCCAACTCAAAGAACTCCGGAGCGCGACCCATAACGCCACAGAGCTTGCCCGCGCCGGAAAATGGCCGAACGTGCGGACGCTGCCCAAGCAGTTCCCGCCGTGGCCGGTCGCAACCCCGGAATCACCCCCGGACGGCATCTGGGGCGTTCAGGGGATGATGCACCCCGACATGCCCAATAACGCTGCTTTCATCAAGACGTACTTTTCGGATGCTGTGATTGAGCCGACGAAACAGCTGCTGCAGTGCACCGACGACGATCTAGTCATGGAGCTCTTCAACTTGCTCATACGGCCTGACGAGGATTTTGAGCTGCGATGGCATAGAGATGATATCCCCGCGACTGCTACCGCCGAGGAGGAACTGGACCGGCTCAATAAGCCAGCTTATTCTGCGCAGTGGAACCTGGCTCTTTACGATGATAACAGTCTCATTGTCGTTCCGGGCTCGCATACCAGGGCCAGGACAGACATTGAGCGCAACGCGGATCCTTATGAGAAAGAGATCCCCGAGCAGTTATACGTGGAGCTCAAGGCAGGCGACATTGTATTTTACAACAACAATATCCTACACCGCGGGGCATACGTCGCGAATAAAGAACGCATGACACTACATGGGAGCGCGGGACATGTCAACGGGAGCACCCTCCGAGCCCGCAATGTCTTGCAACACGGGCTCAAGGGCTGGGTGGATAAGGTCGATCTGGGCGTGTTGGGTGAGAAGGAGAGGGCGAGGGCTGAGAACATGCGGAGAATGCTGGTTAAGCTGGGCCAGGAAGCGGGGGAGGTGGGATATTCACTCGAGGGGTAGGTATTGAGATAAGGCCGTTATGGATCTTCTTACCAAGGACAATCAAATGCATGCGCGAGGCAACTTCCAAGGACAAGAAAGTCTTGGGTGGTTGTGTTCCGGACCAGTCAAGCGGTGTGTAACAACGACCTGGGCGGTGAATTGGGTGAGTCTGCCCGGACTCTGCCCGGGTCATGTGTAGTGGGCGCTTAGCTGTGTGTTCCCGTGACGGGGCGGAGTGAATCAGACTGGAATCCCATCTCTATGATAATTAAGAGGCGCTACCGGCGTTAATTCAGGCTGAGGCTCCGGGCAACGTCATTTCTCAAAAAGAACAACATTAAGCCAACTGACACTTCCTGCACTGAAAGGTTGTTTCATCTCAAGTTCCGTCTTCCATCTCGAAAGCTCTGGGGAAGGAGTGTCAGTGGTCTGTGCACAATCGGATGCCTAAGTAACAAGGTGTCTGTGGAACCCGTGAGCTTTTCCCGTCCTGCGGCCAAATCCGGGTTTGCCAACCATCAACCGACTCTGTCGGCAACATCTACGTCAGCCTCAACCACCTCCAAAACCACCCCTCCCTCCTTCTCGAACCCGTCCAGATCAAAACCCCCAAGGTTTGCACCCGGCGACAATGTTGCCCTCATCGGTGCGGCGCGTGGTTGCTTCGGCGCCGCAGTCCCCTCTCGTCGCCTCCCTCACCACCTCCGCTCCGAGAGCGGCTACGGCCACCATCACCCTTCAGCAGAGACCCGTCGGTGGCCACCAGAGACGATGGTCCTCCTCGAGCCCCTCGAACCCGAATAACAACGGATCCAAGGACATTCCTGCCCAGGGCCAGTCCGTCCATGCCTCGACATCATCGAGCTCCAGCAGCAGCGGCAAGGCCAGCGGCGAGAAGCGGAAACGAAAGAGCAAGGACAGCGCCGATAGGGAGGCTGCGCAGAAGCTGCCCAGCGTGCCCAGCACACAACATCTTTCCCAAGAAGGTGTGTAATTATGCGGAAGTCGAGTCTTGTGGAAGAAATGCTAACTGAGCCATGCGCAGCTCTCGGCTTGTCAACCTTTTTCTCGCTTCACCGGCCGATATCTGTGACCCACAGCATGCCCAAGTCAGTGACGGAAGAAGCCTTCGCCGCCATCTTCAAGCCCCGGAGCAGGGCGAACAAGGTCACCGACGTCATTTCAACACTATCGCGGACGACCGACGACCTCGAGGGCGCCATGGCCAAGATGACCATCGGCCATCAGGAGACGGATGCGTCAGGCGAGCCCGTCCAAAAGATCGACTTCAAGAACCCCGACGGCACCGAGTCGAGCGTCTACGTCCAGCTCAACTCCATGGCCGGCCAGTTCGTCCCCTTCCGCCCTCCCCCGGCCCCCGAGGCCATGGGCGAGACCGCTGACGCCGCGACATCCCACGCCGCGGCCGCCGAGTCCGCCGTCGAGGACCTCCTCGACGAGACCCCCCACCACCGCGTCTACAAGGCCATGTTCACCATCGAGGAGACGACCGACGCCGACGGCCAGGTCCAGGTCCTCGCCCACAGCCCCAAGATCATGCAGGACGGCGGCGACGCGCCCCGCTCGTTCCTCGAGCGCATGGCCCTGCGCCAGATGAAGTTTGACGAGGCGCAAGGCCACGATACCATGCACGCCCTCAGCGTCAAGCGCCAACGCAAGCTCAAGATGAAGAAGAAGAAGTACAAGAAGTTGATGAAGCGCACGCGCAACCTGCGCCGCAAGCTGGACAGAATCTAAGCTCGGATTTGGGGGGTCGGTTGTTTGATTTGTATATAAAACAAGCAAAGCCCCGTCGGTCTCTTATTTTCTAATATCCTGGTTTCTTCTTTCTTTGGACTGCTTCTCCCACTCGAGCATATCCGGGAAAGACGCGGGTGTTTTTTCTCCTCATAATTGGTGTTCTCGGCCGGGGCATTCATCGCTGATGGTATTTCATCTCCTTTTCGCGACTGTGCACACATTTCTCGGGCTTCATATAGAGAAGAGAGGGGACAGCTTTGCATCAGATAGCAATCATCCAACTGTTTGCATCCAGAGCCATCACTCATGACCGTGCCGCGATACCTACTGAGAGCGAGACAGACGCAGGATCCAAGGACGCTAGAAATAAGAAGAAGGAAAAGACGGAGACAGAGAGATATCGTGTACAACAAAAAAGTGTATTACTAGTTCCATCAAACGGAAACATTTCAAGGCCTTGAGATTCTTCTTGAAAAATTGTCTTACCATACCAATTCTATCCGTATAGTGCACCAGTGATTCTTGAGTGATGGCCACCCCGTTGAATTTTAAAGATCGTCCGAGGGGGTGTGGCGTTCTCAGCCAAGGGCGTGGCCATAACGAAAAAGTTGCGGCACCCCACCAAGACGCACCCACCTCGAAAGCCCACCGCCCGGCAGAAAATGTTCTCTCCGCCAAATTTTTGGGAATTTCCTCGACGTCTAAGAGCTGGTTTGCGCCGACCCGACTTCTCAGCAAGCCCGCTTTCTGCCAATTTTCCGCCTTTACCCCCCCTCGTCCCTCCTCCTCTGCGAGCTCTGTTCAAGATGTCGCGCAAGGCAGTGTGAGTTCTTATGGCGATATTAATACTTGAATGTAATTGAGTTGCTGACTTTTTCATTCTCCAATGCAGAGACCAGCGGATCCCGAGTCTCATTAGCAATGGGTACCAAGAGAAGAAGCGCAGCTTCTTCGTGGTGGTCGGTGACCACTCCAAGGATGTCATTGTCAACCTCCACTACTTGATGGCGAGAAACATCAAGCAGAACAAGTCCGTCTTGTGGGCGTACAAGACCAAGCTCTTGGGCTTCACGAGGTACGTCCGAAGTCTCGAGCACGGCTCACTTACACAGCAGACACGGAGAAGCTAACATGCCGACCTCTTCCTCGAAAACTAGTCACCGAAAGAAGCGCGAGAACAAGATCAAGAAGGAAATCAAGCGCGGCACCCGTGAAGCCAACGAGTCCGACCCCTTCGAGCTCTTCGTGTCCCTCCACAACATCCGCTACGTCTACTACAAGGAGACGGAAAAGGTCCTCGGACAGACGTTCGGCATGTGCATCCTCCAAGACTTTGAGGCCATGACGCCAAACATCCTCGCGAGGACGATCGAGACGGTCGAGGGCGGCGGCCTGGTGGTCCTCCTGCTCAAGGGCATGTCCTCGCTCAAGCAGCTCTACACAATGTCCATGGACATCCACTCGCGCTACCGCACCGAGGCGCACGACGACGTCGTCGCCCGCTTCAACGAGCGTTTCATTCTCTCGCTGGGCGGCTGCGACTCGTGCCTCGTCATCGACGACGAGATGAACGTCCTGCCCATCTCGGGCGGCAAGGGCGTCGTGAAGCTCCCGCCCACCGACAAGGACCTCAACAAGACCGAGGCCGAGCAGGAGCTCGAGGAAATGAAGGAGTCGTTGCAAGATACCCAACCAGTCGGCTCCCTGGTTACCCTCGCCAAGACGACCGACCAGGCCAAGGCGCTGTTGACGTTTGTCGACGCCATTGCCGAGAAGACGCTGCGGAGCACCGTGACGTTGACGGCCGCCAGAGGTCGCGGAAAGTCGGCGGCCATGGGTGTCGCCGTTGCGGCTGCTGTCGCGCACGGGTACAGCAACATCTTCATCACCTCGCCGTCTCCGGAGAACTTGAAGACGCTGTTCGAATTTGTATTCAAGGGTTTCGATGCGCTCGGATACGCTGATCATGCCGACTACTCCATCATCCAGTCCACGAACCCTGACTTCAACAAGGCTATTGTCAGAGTCAACATCCACAGGGCGCATCGCCAGACGATTCAGTACATCAGACCCCAAGATGCCCACGTTCTCGGACAGGCAGAGCTGGTTGTCATTGATGAGGCCGCCGCTATTCCCCTGCCTTTGGTGCGCAAGCTCATGGGTCCTTACCTGGTCTTCATGGCTTCCACGATCAACGGTTACGAGGGTACCGGTCGCTCGCTGTCGCTGAAGCTGATTAAGCAGCTGAGAGAGCAGTCAAGACCCGGGGCCAAGACTGGCGAGGACACAGAGGTCGCCGACAGGACGACGGGCAGAGCCTCCAAGGATCAGGGTTCGAGCCAGTCCAGCCGGTCTCTCCGCGAGATCACCCTGTCTGAGCCCATCAGATACGCTCAAGGCGACTCGGTCGAGAAGTGGTTGAACAAGCTTCTCTGCCTGGATGCCACCCTCCCCAAGGCCAAGGCCAGCGCTCAGGGGTGCCCCGATCCTTCGCAGTGCGAGCTGCTCAAGGTCAACAGAGATACCCTCTTCTCCTTCCACCCAATCCCCGAGAAGTTCTTGCAGCAGATGGTCGCCCTCTACGTCGCCAGTCACTACAAGAACTCTCCCGATGATCTTCAGCTTATGAGTGACGCTCCTGCTCACGAGCTCTACGTCCTCATCGCCCCGACATCAGACGGCAAGCTGCCCGAGCCCCTGTGTGTGATCCAGGTCGCACTGGAAGGAAAGATTAGCAGACAAAGCGTCATCAATCAGTTGAGCAGAGGACAGCGCCCCTCCGGTGACTTGATCCCTTGGCTCGTAAGCCAGCAGTACCAAGACGACGAGTTCGCCTCTCTTTCCGGCGCCCGCGTCGTGAGGATAGCGACGAACCCGGAGTACGTGTCCATGGGATACGGCACTAAGGCCCTGCAGCTCCTGACCGACTTTTACGACCAAAAGTTCACCAACCTGTCCGAGGACGCCGACCTCGCCATGGAGGAGACTCTGCCCAGAGTCACGGACGCGGAGCTGTCAAATACCTCTTTGCTCGCTGACGACGTTCACATCAGAGATATCAAGAAGCTGCCGCCGCTGTTTGCGAGATTCTCCGAGATTAGGCCCGCTGCCCTGGACTACGTCGGTGTCAGCTACGGCTTGACGCAGCCACTCCACAAGTTCTGGAAGCGCGCCTCTTTTGCGCCCGTTTACCTGCGGCAGACGGCCAACGACCTGACGGGCGAGCACACGTGCGTCATGATCCGGCCTCTGGAGAACACCGGCGCCGACCGGTCATGGCTCGGCGCCTTCTCGCGGGACTTCCAGCGCCGTTTCCAGTCGCTGCTGTCGTACCAGTTCAGGGAGTTCCAGTCGGTTGTCGCGCTCAGCATCGACGAGTCCGCCAGCATCGGCGCCAAGCTCGATGGCACTGAGCCCACAGCTTTGACAAAGGTAGAGCTGGACAGGTTCCTGACGCCATTCGACTTGAAGCGTCTTGAGTCGTATGCCAACAACATGCTGGACTACCACGTCATTCTCGATCTCGTTCCCACGCTCGCTGGCCTGTACTTCACCGGCAAGCTCAAGGGCGACATCAAGTTGACTGGTGTCCAGCAGGCCATCCTGCTTGCCATCGGTCTGCAGAGGAAGGACATGGACGTGATCTCCACTGAGCTGTCCCTGCCGTCGTCGCAGCTGCTGGCAATGTTCATCAAGATCCTCCGCAAGATCACAACGCACTTTGGATCCCTGGTCAACGCCGCCGTTGAGGCTGAGCTGCCCAGCAATAACACCATTGGTGTGAGCCGGGAGAACGCTTCTGGGGTACATGACGATGAGGTCGTCGACAAGAAGTTCGTTCCCCTCGAGACATCTCTCGAGGACGAGCTTGAGGAGGGAGGCGATGAGGCTCTTGCTAAGCTTCGCAGGAAGCAGCGCGAGCTCATCGACTCCCTGCCGCTTGACCAGTAAGACCCCTTTTCTTCAGTTCATAGCTTTAGAGCACGATACTGACTACAACTCCCAGATATGAGGTTGACGGTGACGCCCCTGCCTGGGCCGAAGCTGAGCAGGCCGTCAAGGACGGCAAGACCGGCGTGGTCAGCGTGAAATCGGCCAAGTCAAAGCGCAAGGCCGGCCCGACGGCAGCCGGGATTTACGATGAGGCTCTCGGGGAGAAGAAGCACAAGAAGGCGAAGAAGTCCAAGAAGGACCGGGACTAAGTAAAGATACAGGGAAAAGGGGGGAAAGAGTGACAGAGGAGGTATAAACAAAAGTGTAAAAGCATCTTGACTTACAGGGTGAAACGGGTATTTGTCCTTACTTGGGCGGCCTCTATGCGGAGTTGGCTTGGCTTTGTTTTGTTAACAATTTTAAGAAACTTTGAACCTCTTGATTCAAGGACAAATGGATGGTGATGTCCTCCTTCTTCCGGATGGAAGTGTTCAGAGACTGGACGACATCTTAGATCAAGTGACTTGCCGGTTAGTTGTGATGGCCCGACCCTGATGTTATTTCTGTGATTTCGAAGAAGGAATGGCCGAAGATGATGGAAGACGTAGACACCTTCCCTTTCTCTGCCCTCCTTCCGCCTTCAACATCAAGGTCGCTCTTTCCTCCGTTGTATGCTGCTCCTCCTCACCTCAGAGAAGGTACCATCCGCCTCGACAAACTCGTGGCAAGCACCTACTGTCATCTGACGACACCACCTCGACAATTCCGATTTTTACCATTTCAGGGATTCGGCCAGAAGTTGCTTCCTCCTCTTCCAACCTTGGGACCGCGAATCACCTAATCATCTTTTCCTTTCCTTAATATACCATCAATCCACGTCACCAAAGCACCAAGTCGCAGGTCATCCACGCCATCTCCCGCCCTCATAAGTCCCGAATACGAATCGAGACACAATGTGTACCGAAACCATTGCCCTTTGCGAAAGCTGCGGTCTCCACAGACACATGCACTACCACCGCTGCACAGCCTGGCTCTGGTCCTACCGCCAAATCAAATGGACCTTCACCACCCCTCTCTCCTCGACCCCGAAACCCAAAAACTGCCCCTTCCTCGACGGCGAGGTCAAGACCGAGATCCACCCGGGCAGATGTCCCAACGCGGCGTGCCCAGGCCATAAGCTCAGAGACGCCCTGGACTTGCAAGCGGCCGCGGACGGGACGTTAGACAGAAGAACGGACGAGCAGAAGATTGACGCGCAGAGGATCAAGATGGGGCTTAAGAGGCGACCTGGGCCGGTGCAGGCGTTTCGAGAGCCGTTGGAGGTGGGGAGGCCGCATCAGAATCGGGTGCCGGTTGTGATTACGGATGGGAGGCCCGATGAGGGACTGGGAGTTGTGAGAGGACGGGGGAAGCGGGTGGAGGGGATGGGTTTGGCGGAGATGGAGACGGAGGATGAGGGGGCTATGGCTGTTCCGTCGCCAGGTCCTGCTGCAAGGGTGCCTGTGAGGAGGCAGAGGGCATTTCATGGTCCGATGATGAGGCCTCATTGATCGGGGTTGTTGGGACACATCGGGGGCTCATCGACTTGACGGCACGATACTACGAATTACGAGCGACGAGAAACGAATGACGACAAAACGGACTGGAAAGGGACTGATAACAGGAACTGATGATGGGAGGAAGTTTCCATACTATAGCGCTGATCGGAAGAGTTTCTCTTCACTTTAATAATGAGCGCCGATTGCTCAAGATCATGAGATTCCCCCAAAGGTGTGAAAGGTGTTTATGGAGTCGTGATGTCGTGATGTCGTGTAAGACGGTCGTCGCCGCATGTCAAGCGAATTGTCCAATCACAGCCAAGGCCACCGCTAAGAATGTTTTCTTACCACTTGGTTCCTGCATCGCGGCAAACCGGCAAACCAACTCCGTAAGCCCAGGCCCCAAACAGCGCGAATCAAGAGCCTGTTTTCATCGCTTGCTTGCCCCCCTGAACTTTGTATTTTGGAGAAGCCAATCTCGGCAGTGGGGTTCATTCCCCCTGTCTACGGTCGACCATCCACTGAGAAGCTCGGAGGATTCACGTCTGGCCTCCGCGCGACCTGGGGGATCAACCAACTTTTTTATGCTAAAATCCCGCCCCGTTCGTCCCATTTGTGGTTCTTGTATATGTAAACATTGGATCATTCCCCGTCCTGTCGTCCTGTCGTCCCGTCTCGTCCTCCTTCCCGGTTGTCGACTCAACACCGCACACTCTCTCTCACTCAGTCGTTGAGTTGTCGATTCCATTCATTTGGACGAGAGTTTGGGATCGTCAATTGGGTCTTTGTGTCTCTTCCTTGACGACGAGATATTTTCTTCGTTTCTGAGTTCTGACGAAACTCCACGCGCTCGATTGCTTGAACCCATCGAAATCGAACCACTCACTCGTCTCCCCAAAGCTCGTGAAGCTCTCACCAACTCTCGATCCGCCAATCTCTCCTCCCATCCCTCAAAATGCACACCTCCAACCTTGCCCCGGCAGCCTTCGCCGCCCTCTCCCTCCTCCTCCTCAACCCCGTCGCCGCCATCCCCGCGCCTGTTCCCGTCCCTATCGCCGCCCCCGAGCCAACCCTCGTCGCCCGTGCCGATGTCATCGCTCCCACCGCCGCCTGGATCAGCGTCAACAACAAGGGCGTCCCCACGACCGTCACCCCCGTCCCGACCACAATCTCCGGCACGGCCACCTACGCCTCCGCCGCCCCCAACGCCCTGACCGGCAGCGTCTTCACCCTGACCGACTGGCACCTCGTCAAGGTCACCACCAGCACGGGCACCCCGCCCGTCGCCACGGCCGACAGCAAAAGCGGCGCAGGAGCGTTCGCGCCGTGCAGTAACACCAATGGGGACTTTTCACCCTTCTGCGACCCGAATAAGGGGAGCACGCTTTATACCGATGGGACGTACTATGGTAAGACCTCCCATTTCAGATTTACCTCTCCCTGTACAGGTGACGAACGTAGTAAATCGAATGACCTGGCTGACGAATCTTACCTTCTAGTAACCTGGGACCCTACCGTCCTCATCAAAGGCAACAAAACCAACGTCAACGTCAAAATCCAAGGCAAATCCGTAAACGGCACAACGGTAGGCGACATCGTCCTCAACGCCGACACAGACACCACGAACCCGGCCTCCTACGGCTACTACGCCTGGACCGTCTCCTCCAGCCTCATCCCCTCAGGCCAAGACAACGCCACGATCGAGCTCCTCATGTCCTACACGATCGACGGCACCGCGCAGGACGCCATCATGGGCCCGCAGGTCCTCGTCGCCAAGCGGCCGGAGTGGCACCCCGAGGCCGCGAAGATGCCCAAGGGCGCGGAGCTGTACATTGCCCTGCCCACCGTGTTCGGGTTCATTATTATCTGTGTCATTGGCGGGTGTATCTGGAACCGGCGGACGCGCAAGATTGGGCTGGGGAATATCATGAGCCGGTCGAGGCACGGGTACGGGGTTGGTAAGTCGCGGGCGCAGAGGTTGGGGGCCAAGGTTAGGCAGAGCGTGTTCCACGGCGGGCGCAAGGATCGCGGGATTCAGTTGAGGCAGAGGGAGATTAGCCCCGATGGGTATGTGTACCGCGACGAGCCCTTGCCCGATCAGCAGCAGAGGCAGCATACTGGTGGACTCAACACCAACGTTGGTGGTCTTGGCCATGCTCGGAGGGATAGCGATGCCCTGGGAAGTCTTGCCGGGAGCCCGGTTTCGGCTACGTTCCCGCATCATGAGCCCCAGGGCGGTAATGCTTTCCGGGAGGAGATGAGGAGGCAGGAGCGGGAGAGGTATTGAGGGGAGCCATGAACTTCTGAAAGGCATACCACTTCGTGTGCTGCCGAGAGGAAACTGTGTTGTTTGGTGAGGCTACCACAGAGGGTAGTAGGCGATGATGGAAATCATGAGAATAAGTATCACGATATAGACGACGCCAGATTCAGAGATGAGTTGATTTGGAGCTCATTTTCGACGTAATATGTAACAATAATGAAACTCATGAAGCATCCCAAGCTGATGACTTGATCCATTGAGATTGTGACTGGTGTTGTGACATGCTGTATTGCTACTTGAGAAGTATGACCAAGCTATTATCAAGCTCAAGAAGGGTCCGGGTGATAGACAGGATAGAGTCGCTCTTTCATATCTTAACTTCTTGCAATGATGGCTCCTTCATCCAAGGTATGATAAAGCGGACGTTTAACTCCCAGCAAATTTGGAGCTTCCCTTTATGCCTGAGCCTACCGAGCTCTTAAACGAAGGGTACGAAAGGGTCACATACTCACATGTAGCAGTCTTGTAAAATACATCTCCCCCACCCAGAGTATGAATTGAACGTTCAATTTCAAGCCAAGCTCGACTCTCTATCTACTCCTTAGCCTTATCCTCGGGCGCCATCGCTAGAGCGATGGCGCCGACAACGAGGACTCCAACAATGCCCACATCATGCCTTTTCCCTTGTGTCGTCACTGCTTATATCTCACATACGCCGTACGGAATATGTTATAGATAGTAAGTACTACTAGAACCCATCATTATCACGCACATTGCCTTTGTTTTAGAGGTTTGGGTGTCTTTGATCTTATAGGCATCGGGTTGTTATCAAATCGTTAGTGACAAATATGTCAGTCACGGGAATCAGTCAGCACCTTGGCATCCAGGGATGCGGTTTGTCTTGCTTGAGTTCATAAGTATACCCTGGGCATCTTGGTTTTTATAGGAACCCGTCGTTATCAAGCACATCCTCAGCCACGAATACGTCAGTTATGGAAGATAATCAGTAGCTTGGGATCATATCCGAATGAATCGCTTTCTTGTTGTCTCAATTGTTTGGTTCAAAAGCAACGAGCATCCTGATTATCTGAGGCAGGGAAACGACTAGCCTCACCCAATGTGTATCACGTGCACACGGGTTTAGTATGACCGCTGGTCCTGCTGCAGGTTATGCTCCCGGCTCCGTATCTTATAGCTGTTACAGCGTTATCTCGGTATCTGGAGATACAGGTTGGACTCCTAGGTATCCAAGCAGATCGCCTGCATATTGTTTTACTTAGTTCAGAAACATAGCAACCTCAATTTCTATAGAACCTAACCCGTCGTTGTTAAGTTTACTATCAGTGGCGAACACGTCAGTCACGGGAAACGATCAATATTGAGTGGATCGCTTTTATATATTTTGCTCGGTTTAGAACGCATAAGCATAGTAAGTCTATGGGGCAGGATTACAAAACCGCTACCTTCACCCGATATGTGTCAAGCACACACGGGTCAGTGATCCCGCTGACCCTGTCGGCCCTATTTGATTGAGTTCAGAAGCATGCATATGTCTAGGGCATCCTAACATTTATAAGAACTTGCCGTTAACAAACACGTCGTCAGTGACGAAGACGTTAGCCACGGGAAGCGATCAGTAGTACCTTGGCAATCAGGGATCTTGGTTGTCGGCTCTCGTCCGAACGAGCCGCTTTGATCTCGGTTTAGAAGCATGCGCATCCTCTATGAGGCAGGATCACTGAGCCATGACCTTCATCCAATGTGTATCACCCGCACATGCGTGGGTGCTACCGTAGAAACTGCTCCCATCTCAATATTCTATAGCTGTTGCGGCGTTGTCTTTGTAACTGGTTGATAGCGATGAGAGGTAATCTACCTAAGACTCCGATAAATTAGGGCACATATCACTTCTGGAATTTTTGGACAGGGGGAAGAAACAAAGGTCGTATCAGCATATCAATTGATAAGTTTCATGACGCCATTGCTACCAAACCGAGACCTCTTGATGTCTCCATACAACTCTGGTCGTCCGACGGGACCCCATTTACTCCCTTTTACTCCCTTTATAACATCATCAGCTGTGCAGATGCTAGCACTTCACTTCTTGCCAGAGTTACCGGAACTTCCACCGCCATAGCCGGACGAGGTTCTCTCGCCGCTGGAAGAGGTGTAGGTCGAACCGCCGTTGCCATCGTTGTAGTAGGTGCTGCCGTTGGGGTTGGAGTAGTAGTAGGACCCGTCACTTGGCATGTGCTGGTCAGCTTCCTTTCCTATCGGTCAACGACGGGAGATGCTTTTTTGAGGACAGAAGGTCCGGGAGAGTAGCCCGCTCAGACAAGAAATTGTCGTCCGGACGAGGAGGAGGAGCAGCAATTTGGACTCACGTGTTAGAGTAGTGGTACGAGTTGGAGTTGGAAGCGCTGCTGCCATAGTCACGCGCGCAGTAGTGGTTGCCCTGGATTTGCCAGTCGACATGTCAGTCATGCACATCTCCAGCTTGAAGCTTCTGCTGGCTTCGGGAGTGAGGGATTGATCAGTACCTCGCTGTTGGTGCCGGAGCTCTTGTACTCGTAACCCTGTCCGCTCATCTTGGCTTTTTGCTAGTCGGGCTTGATACGAAAGTGGTTGATTGGGATGGTTCTGTATGCGTGGTACTGGAAGGTTTGTGGAGAGATGAAGAAGAGGGGATAAAGGTGTGAGGTTACCAGGAGGTAAAGGGAGATTAAATAGGTACCCAGGCAAGACCTCTATGGTTCATCACGCAAGGCTTATCGATGCTTTCCTTCCCCTTTCCACCCCGCATCACGGATTGATGGTAAGCGGGGCAGGGATAATCGGCAAGCTGCCTACTCAAAGTTAATATCTACCTCGCGCTTACTTGGGCCTTCCTTTTGGCTTGCAGGAAGCTTTCAAGTGCCTTCCCGCGGAGCTCCGTGCCACAGCTCCAGAGTCAAGTCTGGCAGGAACATGTGATTGCATCATTCCTCCTTCTTGTTGCCCACTGTACGTATAAATCGATCACAATCAAGTTCCCAGTGTCAAGAAGCAGCAGAGAAGCGCAGCATGATGTTGGCATATTGCTTTTTCCCGACGACATAAGGCGGTTGTCCCCTTTCCCCCGCTGCCAAGCAAGCTGCCACTTTCGTGACCCGGTCTGGGATCATCCTGGTACTTGTCGACGTTTGGGTGGATTTTATACCAAGTAGGTGAACACCTCAGTCGAGAGAAGAGCCTAGCACTCCATGTCCAGAGACGAAAACAAAGGGACTAGGACTGAGAATTTGAGAATGACCTCTAGCTTGCAAAGCACATAAGCAGTAGACTAGCAATCGCAAGCGCGTTGTCGAACTACATGGTAGCTGAGCGGCAGTCGGGTGGGATGAGAGCCAGAGAACCCCTCACTCGCACAGCTGTCCCCCACGTTTCAGGGATCAGCTTGCATGGAAAAAGCAAATGGCATCCCCCAAGCACCAACTCACTTGTTGAACTCACGCGCCTCTGATTCCTACACTCCGAACCGAAACCAGATTTCATATGCTACCGCATCTTGCTACAGGTATCCCAATTGCGCGTAAAACCAACCCCAAATAGTATCCATCCCATTAGAGGTAAAGAAAAAGAGCCCATCATTCCAATTTTAACAAATACAATCACATAATCGCTCCGTCGTCGCGCATTAAGATGTCCCCCGTCGTTATTTCATTCCAACACTTTAACCAAGTCAGTCACAAGTCACGCAAGGTGCGGAGTAAACACCCAACTCAAGGTAAGGTTCCTCAAAGCTTACTTTTTGCCGTACCCGGAGCATGTTCGGTATCCGCTAGCCGAGGTGTACGGAGAACCGCCGTTGCCTTCGTTCTGATACCTCTCGCTCTTTGGAGTCGAGTCGTGAATTGAGCCGCTTCTATCCATCGATTGTCAGATTCCGTCAGTCTTCGATTTTTGGCCTCCTCTCACGCCCCACGCAGACGTACATCCCCAGATCTTGATCGAGGACTGGATGAGGATGATCAAAAGTAAGAATGATTGACACTCACGCGCTGGGATACTGGTATGAGTTCGGGTTCGCAGAGCTGCTGCTGCTGTTTCCGTAGTCGCGGGCGCAGGAGTAGTTACCCTGTTTGTTCCCCCCGCAGTGAGTACTTTGTTTGCTTCCACGACAACCTCACATTGGCTTTGGGTTCTCAAATTACCTGGCTGTTGCTCTTGTACGAGTACCCCTTGCTGCTTGGCATATCGTCGATCTTGGGAAGAAGGGTGGGCAGCGGTTTCTATTCCTTTCTTTCCGAATACTTCTGAATCGGAGTTGGGCCGGGGAAGATGGAACAGCACAATCAAAGGATGAAGATGTCGTCGGGGCTTGTTTTCCTCTTTTCGCTTTTGACTCAATGTGGAGATGGGGAAAAGAAGACGGAGAAGGCGAACTTAAGTATAAGAACAAACTCTCTCTTTCTCTTCAGTTTACGGCACATGGTACGAGATACAGATCAAGGTACATAATGGGCTGATCATGGGCGATGCGTGGTTTGAAACGCCTGCGCTACTTCACCTTACCCCGCCCCACGGGAGCTCATTGGAGAGAGCCCATGGTGAGACTTTTTTTCTTACTCTCTGATAATTCCCGTGCCTTTACGAGTCGGGTCCATTGACAAGTCTGGATGGGTGGATGGATGGTGGGATGGGGGTGGGAACGGACGATGCGGCAAAAAGGACCAACGAGTGGATGAAAAGGGATGCTTTGGGCAAGGCGTCAAGCGTTCGAGCCGCATGCCGCATGGCTCCTCGTGGGTCGAGCGAGGCGACACGCATGCGCTGGCAAACGGGACTGGCCTCTGCATTCTCTTTGGGCGTTGGAACTTCTGGGGGCATTAGGTATCGGTAAGCCAGTTGTTAGGTATTTTAAGCTTCATGTGGGGGGTGGTGGGCTCGAGGCCTTGGGGGGATAGTGAGTTGGAGGAGTCTGCTCTCTGCATGAGCAGACTCTTTGGATGAGAAGGAGTCCGAGATGTCGTGGGGGAGGGAAGGGATTACTTGGATTCTGCAGCGAAGATTACTTGAGTTGGTTACTAGGTAGGGACAGAGAAGGGGGTACCTGAGCTCAGAAGCTTCGTCAAAACTTGGGACGACACACGACCTTGTTCGCATTCCCTCGATTTTTGATGAGGGAAACAGCGGCTCTTTGAATAATAACGTTGCCTTCCCCCCGCTGACGTCTTAGCTTGGGGGGTAAGGTTGTCTAACAAATATCAAGGAAAAGGAAAGGCATTAAGAGAGAGCAGCTGTAACCGCAAGGACCGCAGATCCGGGAAAGCCCGGCCATAAGTAGGGGACCGACGGACGCGGTCAGGGGCATATATCTCCGAGATCTGCTTCGGTCGACTCGGATCTGACTCCGAGGCGATGGGAGATACCACCCTTCTCAATTTTGGTCCGTAATTCTTGTACGCTTGAATTCAAAAGTCTATTTTTCTTCGTGCTTCTTGCCGGCATATCTAGTCTAGAGGCTCTTCTATATCATTATGCGGCTCACAAATAGCCCATTCACGACTCTCTCTTTTTTTCAAGTTTAGAGGTGATGATCTAGTCAGTTGGAAGGGTCCTTGGGGTCGCCGTCCTCGAGCTCGGCAAGGTACTTCTCGGCGTCCATGGCAGCCATGCAGCCGGTACCGGCACTGGTAATAGCCTGTCTGTATCTCTTGTCCTGGACATCACCGGCGGCGAAGACACCCTCAATGTTGGTCAGCGGCGTGCCGGGCTTGGTGACGACGTAGCCCTCCTCGTCGGTCTCGAGCTGTCCCTTGACGAGCGACGTTGCGGGCTCGTGGCCAATGGCGTAGAAGAGGCCGTTGGCCTCGATCGTCTCCTCGGCGCCGGTGGCGGTGTCCTTGACGACGAGGTGGCTCATCAGGCCGTCGTCGCCGCCCTTGATCTCCTTGCCGGCCGAGTTCCAGCGGACCGTCACCTTCTCGTGGGCGAGGAGGCGCTTGGCCATGATCTGCGAGGCGCGGAGGACGTCGCGGCGGACGAGGACGGTGACGTGGGAGCCGTACTTTGTGAGGTAGAGGGCCTCCTCGGCGGCCGAGTCGCCGCCGCCGATGACGACGAGGTGCTTGTTGCGGAAGATGGGGACGGCGCCGTCGCAGACGGCGCAGGCGGAGACGCCGTTTTGCCAGTACTTCTCCTCGCCGGGGAGGTTGAGGCGCTTGGCGGAGGCTCCCGTGGCGAGGATGACGGCGTCGGCGGTGTGGGTGGTCTCGGGCTCGAACTCGGTCGAGTACTTGAAGGGGCGGGAGGAGAGGTCGAGGTTGGCGACGGTGTCGGAGATGATCGTGGTGCCGAAGCGCTCGGACTGGGCCTTCATGTTGTCCATGAGCTCGCCGCCCATGATGCCCTTGGGGAAACCGGGGAAGTTCTCGACGTCGGTGGTGGTGGTGAGCTGACCGCCGGCGGCGATGCCGTTGGCCATGAAGCCCTCGTAAAGGACGGCTGGAAGAGGAAGTATCGTCAGTTGATGATCCGATAGTAGGATGAACGAGAGGGAATGGAAGGGGGCTTACGCTTCAGCTCAGCGCGCGCCAGGTAGACGGCGGCGGTGTGGGCAGCAGGCCCAGAGCCAATGACTGTGGTATGAGGTTAGCAAAGGCGCATTGCAAGATTCGAAGCCATCACGGCTTGAGAGGCATGTTTGTCTCTACTGGTCTGCAGGAGGGGCAACAATGCAGGAACGGAGAGTCGTGACATACTGACAACCTTGTTGTGCATTTTGCGGGCACTTGACTTTAAATCAACAGGGTTCGTAGAGTTCTTCTTGAGAGATGTGGTGGCTGCGGCAAAGGATAGACCAGTGGCGCTTGAGCGAAGAATTGTTCGTCTAAAGGTTGAAGAGAACAGTTTGGCGGTGATATGCGCGTTCAGGAACACGCACTATCCTCTCCAAAAATGGCGGGGTATCAGAAAAAGAGAGATATATGTACAGCAAGAGGGGAGGAGGGGGGTGCCACCGTAAGGTAGGCCAGGGGGCGTGTGAGAGGAGGGGTGGAGGGGCAAAACGAATGGAAGGGGGCAGGACGGCGACGGCGACGGGCTTTGCTTCCAATCAAGGCTTGGAAACTCGTGGACCGCTATCGTGACGGCAGACCCGGGATGGTAGTGGTAGTGGTAGTACAAACAGGACAGTGGTATGGACTACAGGGCCAGGGAGATTCTGCAGCAAACAGTACAGATAGCGGCGGGCAGTAGTGGTACAAGCAGTCAAGCACGAATTTGATTTCTAATGGTGGTGGTGGCCGGGATCTGGGAGACTGATGCGTTGCGCTGGTAGTGGTGGTGGATTCCAGAATTCCAGAAATTTTTAATCGGGGCCTGCCGCACGATTCAGGGTGCATTTGATAGCGTCTGTCAGTCGGCCAAGCCAAACCGCATGTGGTCTGGATGCGCGATCGGAGTGCCGTTCTCTGTCGTGACTGTGTGGATTACCTAAGCACCGAGTCGCCGACTCCCCGTTCCGTCGGTAGCCCCCACTTGCCGAGGCTCTTCCGAGTGACGCAACTCGGCTCCGAGCCACAAATCTGCTGCACGGTGTGCCATGTACCTACCAGCGGGTACCTTTCTTTTCGTCTTGTCGTGAATTGTGGACTGAGGCGGTCACCGGTGTCGGGAAGTTTATAATCTACAAGGGTTCTCATCCTGCTGGGAATCTTATCAATCGCATCAGCATCTATTTGGAATTGTTGACGTCAATGAAGCTCCTGCCTCATAAGACTAATATCTAGATTCGAGCCAAGGCCGTCTTGGTCGGCGATATTTCAACAATTCTTGTGTGCAAGTATTCGAGATTATCGCTTACGCGATCAGAAGGATGACTTAATTTCGGAGCATAGATCTTCTCCCATTTTTACTCATTTGCTCCATCGCCTCACCCACGTCACAAGTTTTTCTCAGCAATTTCCCAAAAGCCTCGAGTCTTACGCTTTCGCAAGTGCGCCCGAGCAAGGATATGCCTCTCTTATCAATCATTCAGACCGAGTGAGCTAGAATGACCAAGATCCCTCTACACATGCTCAACCTCTCAACCTCCTCTGAGGACGTCTGCGATACCTCCTTTCGGCCGGTGAAGAGCTCTTTCTACGTTAACGAGCGAGATCGGTTTTGTTGTCATCTCAATATTCCAGAAATGGCTACTCCAATCTGGCCGAGGGTTCTATATCCCGGTAGAGAGCGCAAGGTAAATTAAGAAAACCGCTTCTAGACGAATCCTCATTCATAATCTTTGGCACGCCAGCAAAGCTACTTTGCTGGTCCGCATCTTATCTTCCCTGCCTTAGTAGGCAGATATGTCCGTCATGCCTCTCTTCTTCTGTGCAACCACGCCGAACCTCGCTTCTTCCCGCTCCCATTGCACACACCTCAGTTGTATCTTCATCGTCCTCGAGCTACTCACTGCCGCTGTTTCCAAAGTGGCGGCTCATGGTTCAAGTCTCAAACAGGGCCTCAGCCACCGATGGTCCAGCCTTGCAGTACATCTGTACCTTGAGAAAACATAAACAGGTCAACCTTGGATCGGCATTTTGATCACATGTCATAGGATTCAGAGTATTCGTATGAAGAGCCGGCTGTCACGACCACGGCCGTTGGGTACACATCATTATTCAGGGCTTTCCCCTAACCCAAAGGTCCCAGGCATTCCATTCCCCGCATACTCAACAACCTACGCATCCGGCAGCCCAGAAACAACAACACCAGTAACAAAATCCTTGGCGTGCCCCTGGGTGTCCATCTTGCCAGTACCATTCTTCAAATAACAATACTCTCCCGGCAACTTAATCATAGCAACAGACCGACAATACCCGCCCGCCTTGACATCCCCGCTGGCAAGATTACTCCCATACGCCTGGTTATGAGCCGCACACAGCGCCATACACTCCTCAAACGTCGAAACATACACCTTGAGGATATCATACAGCGCTGGGTTGCCGTACGCCGCGCCCGACGGGTAATTCACCTCGCAGAGCTGACGGAAGGTCTGCGTTGAGTACCCGGAACCAATTTTCATCGCGTTGCCGCCGGCGTCGGTGGGCGTGTAGGTCGTCGTGTTGATGCTCGGGCAGCCACCGTCCGTCGGGGCGGAGCGGATGCCCGTCGGGATCGAGCGCGTGGTGGATGAAGTCGCTGTTGAACTGGAAGACTGTATGCCTGCGCCTGAGCTTGCGCTTGAGGCCGTAGGCGCCGATTGCGAGCCTGCTGTTGCTGAGGCTGTTGATGACGGGTCTCTGTTTGGACGTTGGGATTCAGTGACCACGTCCTCTCATCTTCCCTACGTGAGTTGGAGGGACAGGTGAACTTACACTGACACGGCTGAGCTAGTAGCCTTTTGCGCCGCCAAACCTCCCGCCACGCCGCCGGCGATGCCGCCAGCAAGGACAACCACCAGCGCAATCACCAGCCCCCAGAAGACAGGCACCGTCAGACCGAGAACGCGCCGTCTCTCTGGCGGCGGCGCGTCTGCCGCTGCGGCGGACGTAAGCGCCGGGTGGTAGGCCTGCGTCATTGTCGTCCACGTTGACTTTTCCAACGGGCTCTGGAACTCGGAAGGGTCGTACGGGATCGGCGCGGTGGAGTACCGGCTCGGTGCTGCCTCGAGGCCGGGTTGGTCTACTGGTACCGGCGCCGCAGCCGTTGCCTCCATGTGGGGACGGTGTTGGATTTGATCGGGCATCCCGCCAAAAATCTGCGTCGGTCTCCTCGATTACTCCAAGTCGTACGAGGTTTAAACAAATAAGATGAGGCAAAACCGCGTGCGCGCGCGCGATGATCACAGATTAATCAGAAAGAAGGGCATCAAGACCGAGAGAAAAACAAGAGCAAAAATGAAATTAGGCTGCCAGCCGAGTACTTGAATGAAAGCTCAGCTCGCAAGGTTGAACACACTGGTTGACCCTGGCTACGATGGTACGGTAAGCGGCAACCGAGCTTACCATGCAGGCGTGGGACATGGGGGTGTTCATTTTCTTTTGCACGATGCCTCATTGAGTTGAGAACCCATGCGCCGACAAGCTTTTTTTGGGACTGGGAACAGCCCGAGCCTTACCTTCCCTTCTCCTGAGACGATTGTCTCTCTGTCTCGTGGGAAGCGCAAACGCGACCACCCGGCGACGCCACGCTCCGTCCCATGCAATTTAGCCTCAGCCCTAACGCGCCAACACTGAGAAGGGGGAGGAGGGAAGGGGGCCAAGCGTATGATGAACGCTTCAAGTGCTCGTCGTCGCGTCGGCAGGATTTTGTCTACGGATACCAATGAACCCTATTCGAAACGGCGCCCGATGGCGATGGTGGTGAGGGCGGTTGAGTGGTGGTTGGCTGGCCTTGGGGTCGTAGCCGCCGAGGCGCCTGCATGTGCTTCGCCCGGTTGGCGCGTCAACCGAAATAACTCGTGTCTAGCCTGTGTCTGAGCTGAATGGCAACTGCAGCTGTCTTGAAGCCTTGTTTGGTTGGAAGGGAGGAAGGGATTCTCGTGGTTGAGGTGCAGTTGTTGGTAATCGAGGGTTTTTGAGCTTGAAATGATGAGTAATGTTGAAGAGACTTGAACCTTTTCATGGAGCATGCAAAAACCCGAGAAGCAGATATCTCATCTTGATTATCGTCATCCTACATACAGGCAAGCCGTCTGATTACATCGACCGGGGCTGAGTTGGCAACGCACAATGCCCGTGGTCATGAGATCGAAGCTCACGAGGAGATTCCTTCACAGTAGCGTCTTCTGTATCCTCTCAGCGACCTTCAACGGCTTCAGACGTACTCAACAATGGTATAAGTAGAGAGTCGCATCTTACCATAGACTGGAGAAATGGATTGCAGTTTTCATCCGCCAAACTTTATCAGATGTCAGGTTCGGTAAAACTTGATAGAGCGACGGATTAATTCCTGCATCATGAGCGGTCGATCTAGGAATATGGGAGGTAGCTTGTCCGCAACGCCAACATGATCTAGCCGCACGATCTCGAAGTGAACTACAGATTCATGGATTTCATAGATTTGGCTAGATAATCTTGCACTTTCAAAATCCGCGAAACGCATTTCTACTCGAATATTCACACCACCTAACGCTTCATCCATCCTCAAGCACCAAACATCAAGAAAGCTCGTGTCTCCTATCGTGGTTACTAGATAACTCATTCGGTACCGGCTGTCCATGCATCTCAACCGGCACATACGCCGTCCGCTCCGACTTGGCCCACGGCGACGACGGGCCGGTCCCAGAGGAATCTATCTGGCTCGACAGCGCCGCCCTCGTCTTCCTCTTCTCGCGAAACAACATGACGGTTAGCGCCGCGATCGCCAGCGCCAGCGGCGCGCCGATGCCCACCCCGATTCCCGCCGCCGCTCCCGTCGAGATCCCGTTGCTGATACTGGACTCTGCCGCCGTCGCGGAACACGTTGCGGCGGTCCCGGTGCTCTGTCCTCCTGCTGCCGCGGTCGCGGTCACCGTCGTTGTCGCGAGGTCCCCGAGGTCTGATTTCAGGTACTCGTTAAGCAGCATCTGGCCTGCGGGGACGCCAAAGGTGTAGTTTGCGCAGTTGCCGGAGTTCTGGCATGCGAACTTGTTGTCGCCGCATAATGCGACACCGCAATGCCGGCCGGGAACTATAATATAAGTCAGCCCAACGAAGATTTTAATACCAAAACTCCAAACAGAGGATACCCTAGAGTCCTCCTCTTCAAAAAAGGGATCTTACCTCCGCCGGTAATCTCCTCCTTGTCGCAATACTTTGGACACCCGCTCCTCGACCAGTTCTGATCCGTACACGCGCCGCGGTAGAAGCTCAGCTCCGTCTGCGAGAAGCAGAGGCCGTTGCTCATGCAATAATGATTCTGGAAGCAACACGCCGCGACCTCGGTGCCGCCGGCCACGGGACAGGCTACCGCCTGCTTCGCCTCGACGCCGTTGGGCCAGTAACATGTCTGGCCCGCCACCGCCGTGACGAACGCCACCGCTGCGAGGAGCCGCCAGCGTAGCAGCGACAGATGCATTATTTGTAGATGGGCTCCTCAGAGTTTTGAAGAAGTTGGGAGAGTTTCGGCACGACGGGAAGAGAGGGCGAAAAAATCTTGGTTTGGTGCGGGACGGAACTCTTAGACTAATAAGTTGTATTCCATGCAGGCACAATGGCTATGCTTCAAGTTCCTACGCCCAAGCTGGGCTTTCAAAGTCACCTTCAAGCTAGGGTTCTAGAGACATGCAGCGCTTGGCGAGTGATTTTGGGGGTCAAGGGATTCGTATCCCTGTCCAGCCTTAGATGGCTTGATGGCTTGAACGAATCGCGCCGCACAGGGGCTTGGCTAGACGGGTTTCGCGCCTCCTGGAAATGACCGCAATACAAGACTCTCACAGCCCAGTTGTCATTGACTTCTATGGGTGTACTCTGAGGACTGCCAAACTGCCTCATAGAGGAGCGCCATAGGAATGGTCTGTTGCAAACACCTGCAGGTCCCTCTCCACCAACTGCACGGGTACCAGGGATTAATTCTGTTGCCTGCGGCCCTTACCGGGATGGCTGCGATCCCCTCATTATAACAGAGAGACGGCTTCACAGGGGTCATGCTTTACGAAACACAAATTGGGAATAGCTCAGAAAAAAGCATAGAGATAAGCTTGTTGCAACTCAAAACGCGGATAATCATTTCGCTACGCTGACTGATGTTCTCATTGTCATCAATCCCTCCTCCACCCCGTCACCATGACTATCACGCAGCTCTCACTCCTTTGACAGACTTCCATTCCAAGAAACAAGCCGCAATGGCCGAAATAGCAGCCAAAGGAATCGCAGCAGTGAACACCACGCGAAGAGCATCATCATACACAGAAACCATCATCGGGAGCGCCTCAGCCGGCACAACCGTCCGAAACGCCGCCACCCCGGCCCCGAGCACCGTCGGGATATCCACCCCAGGGACCGCATCCGCCGCCGAAGCCTGCAGCAAGTGATTCTGGAACAGCGCATTCCCGACAGACACAAAAACGGCCCCGCCCAGCGCCTGCGACGCCACGACCGCCGCGGTCCCGACGGGCACCTCGTCCGGCGGCAGAACGGCCTGCACGGCGGTGAACCCTTGCTGTATAGCCATCCCGAAGCCCGCCGCGACAAGGATCTCGAACCCGATCCAGTGCGACGTCGGCGTGTCGGGCGAGAGCGTAAGGAGCTTACCGCACCCGGCTGTCGCGATCATACCTCCGATGATGGCCGGGGCTGAGGGGTAACCCACGACGGAGACGAAGATGCTTGCTAGGAGGGAGAAGAGGGCTATCGCGGCGACGTAGGGGAGCATGTCCACGCCAGAGGATATGGCGCTCTCGCCGCGGACTGCCTGGAACCAGATTGGTAGGAAGTAGATGTGGATAAGGAGAGCCCCGTACGTTGCAAAGGCCGCGACGCAGGAGGCGGCTACGGTTCGCTGCGTGATGATGGCTGGTGGGAAAAGCGCGCCGTCTTGCTTCCACCACTGCCATGCGGCGAAGACGATGGCCGTTGCGCCGGCGCCTGATAGGAGGCCGATGAGTTTTGTGCTAGACAAGGCTTCGCCATGGGTGACGTATTGGAGGGCTAGGAAGAGCATTACGCAGGCCCCGAGGAGGAGTACGTTGCCTATCAGGTCGAGGTCTAGGATTCTGTTAAAGAAGGTTTGTTTCTGTTGCGCTTGCTGCCGAGGGTGGAAGAACAGGAGAAAGACGATGAGGGTGAAGCCCGCGGTGGGGAGGTTGATGTAGAAGCACCATCGCCAAGTCTGGGTACGGGGTCAGTCTTTGTTTTTGCAGGCAGTTAGAACCGCGGGATCACTTACGACAAGGTCAGTGAAGACACTTCCGAGCAGGGGACCGATCATGGCGCCAAGGCCGAAACTGTCGTTGCGTTAGCTTCAACACGTCTTGAACTTCTCTCTTTTTGGATAGAGATTTCGTACATAGCTCCGATGATGGCCGTGTAAACTGGACGCACTCTCACGGGAACAGCCGTTGCCACGATGACGAAGCTCCCGGTGAGAATCCCAGCACTTCCAAAGCCAGCTACGGCACGACCCACGATGAGCGCGAGAGAGTTGGGGGCGAGGCCACAGATGAGGGATCCAGCAAGGAACATGAGTATGGCTAGGACGTATGCCCATTTCGCGGAGAAGAGCATAAAGACTTTGCCAAAGACAGGCTGGAGGGCACAGATCGTGAGGAGGTGAGCTGAGCCGTACCAGCCGATGTCTGCGGTGGATTGGAACTCTGATGTGATGTGCGGTATGGCCTAGTACAGTCAGTTTGAGAGGTGATTGATAAGGTGGAATGATCACTTACAGTTGTGAGGATAGTTCGATCTGCGGAGATGGAAAACACTGCAAGACAGACCCCAATGACCAGAGCCGCGAGCCGCCATCCTTTCGCCCACTGCTCCCCCTCAACCTCCCCGCCCGAAGACGGCGACACCACGGCGCCATGCTTCTCCGCCCTCGCCATATCGAGATGCGTCACTTGGTGCTGGTAGTCCCCGCCATCAACCTCGTCAATATCCGGCTCAAACGGTCTCGTGAAGCGGCTAATCCGGGCGTCGGCCTTGCCGGGGTGTCTCTGTTCCGTGACAGGTGTGAGACCTTGCCGCTCCATCCCCCGCGGCCCACTACTTGATATAGACCCGTGAAGAGACGGGTGGCTCGCCAGGTGCCGGAGCGGCGGAGCGAAGATGAATGAGATGATTGACGCGGACTCGGATTGCGGTGGTGAGAAGGCGTTCCGTTCTACGTCGTCCGTTCTAGAGAGCGTCTGTGAGTCTGAGACGGTGTGTGACGGGACTCTCTTTATGGTGAAGGGGAACGCGCTTTGGATTTGCGTGGGCGAGATCGAGTCTTCGTTAGGGATCATGCGTACGGCGCCGGGTTGTCGTAGGGATGATACCCGTCGAGGAATAGGTGGCGGTCGTGGCCCATCGGTTAGGGTGGTTGAGGATCTCATGGAATCGTGGCGGCGGCATTGGTTTTCATTGTAGAAGCTCTGATATGCCATCGAGAGTTCGCTGTTCCTCTTGCGTGTCTCTTCGTCTGTCACATCCGTCGCCCTCTTCGCCGCGTCTCCAGTGGCAGAGGGATGGTCCTGTGATAGGCGAGCCTTTTCTTCCCATTCTTCTGTCAGGGATTGTGGCAGAATGTCCTCCCCGTCGTTGTCATCCTCCTCTGAGTAGGATGAACGTAGATTGTCGTCGAGGCCAGGTAGTGGAGTAGCGTGGGAGTGTATGACTGAGATTCGCGAGCGCTCCTCACCGAGAAACTCCGAGGATGGCCTAGATCCGAGTGAGGGCCTTTTTGTCTGGGGTGCACCGCTTTCAACTACGGGCTCTCGCTTTTCAGCATCTTTTTCCATCTTCTTGTCGTCTCGCATGCTGGACGAGCTTTGGAAGCTAGTGTATCGGACGGCACAATGGTCTGTGTACTTGATGTTTGGGTAAGTTCTAAGTTCAGAAAAGAGGTGTTGTTGGGCATCGCAGGTCGTCCACATATCTTAAAGTTGCCGCCTTCTGCTTAAGAGGAGGAGCCAGAAACTGCTCGCAGTCTCAATTTAGCTTCATCACTAGTTCATACCCTGCAGTTGATTGACTGTCTAGATCATCGGCGGCGCCCGAAAACACTGGTAGAACACCCTCAGCTGCGCGCCAATTGTCTTTAGCTCGATTTAGGAATAGCCTCGCGTTGAACGTACTTACTACCGGGGCCTTCTAAGAGTAGCTGAACGTCAGACCCCAGAGTTATGGGCTGAGCTAGCAAGCAAGACTGCCCGATGTCGGTAGGTATGGGTCTGTAGAGCATATCGGCTGTGAGACAGGAGGCAGCATGCCATGTGGCTCAAGGGCAAGACTGGCACCGCTTGCCAGATCAAGGACTAGATCGGCCAAGTTTGAGTGCCATTACTAACACACCATTTCTGACAGCCATCATCTTTCGATGAACCGCGGGGATCCCCCGTTAGAAGCTGTTGTTGAGGATCGAACAAAGCACAAAGCAGCAGCCGAGGGGGCGCTAGCACTTGGTGAGGGGAAGCGTGGCGGGAGAGGGTGTCATCCGCGGCGCCGGCGCCGTGGAATTTCAAACTAGACGGGATTCCGGGGCCGATGTCTTTGTTCGTCGGGACCGAAGACAATGAATTGGGATGGGAACATGAAACATGGAGTTTAGAGAAGGCAGTTGGCGTCCTCGTCATTATCGGAGAGAGAAAGATTTTGCAAATTCATCGCTTACTTGGCCTAGCCGTGCAGTTGCAGTGCTTTTCGTCTATAGGATGAATCATGGGAGTGTTGGATATTCGTGTACATTTCGGGTTAGCAGTGGGGGTAGACACCGATGCGGCCTTAGGTTGGTGATGAATTACAGTCGAAGAGAGCGGGTGCTCAACCGAGAATATCAGACATGTTCCCGGTGATTTACAGGAAGCAACTGGCCAGCCTCTCGCCAGTTACAGAAACAAAAGGGACTTCTGCCCAGAAGCTTAAGATGGCTATACCCCTAATCCTGAAGTGCAGCGCTACCGCTTTCTGTAACTTTTGCTTTCGAGTCTCCATGCAAGAATCTTTTTTGTCCCCTTTTTCTCTTATCGCACCGTTATTTCTTCACCCTCAACCTTTAGCATACTTCAAAACCTGATTGATTATGCCGTGTCACTCATCTATTCATTAGTGACTAGTGTTGTGACGACTGCTCGTACCCCACCAATTATGGCACTTGCTTGTTTACGCCAGCCTACAAGATTATTGATCACGATCTTGGTGTGGGAGGTTGAAAGAAGTTCAGAGTTGAAACAAGGGGAGGCTTGCCCGCGCTTCGTCACTTTGATGCTGCCCATCCTGAAGCAAACTGCCCTGCTACCTGCACTTAGCCCAATTGCTTCATCGAACGAACTCATCGCAAATGCAGCATATGCTTGGCAAGATTTAGTGTAAGTTCAGCTTCAATTGCATGTGATTTCTTTCCGTTGTTTGACTCCAAACTAAGACGCACACATCTAACAACACCTAGTTCCATGGCAGTGACTTCATGGCAGCATGTCAACAGGCCCAGAGGCATGGGGCGATTGAACAAGCCAATGATCCAATCCTCATTCGTTTTGGAAGGTATTTTATGAACCAAACTTCTCAACACGAATCTAGCAATTTGAGTCTTCTCGAGAATGCCTATTGAGGGAGCAGAGGAAAGGAAGAATGACCTTGAGAAAGTCGGCATGTTGGATTTTGATCGTATTCGTACTAGCGTGATCTGCGGACCAGGATTCCCCAGACGATCCCACCACACCTTGAAGGCCCGTAATTCTAAATCCATCGACCCGCCTCACTCCGGCAGACCGCAGGCCGCACAACTTCAGATGTTTCCTCCTCATCTCACCCCATCCCACCATCCTTCACCATCAGGCATGGCATTTCACTTTTGCATACAGTCAGACATGGGCACACTTTCGCAATAAACTCATGTCATTTGTTCCACAATCCGGAGTAAACTCCCGCCCTGCTTTCGAACCTCAACCACTATTTATGCCCACCAACGTCACCGTCACCGCCACCAGTAGCACCAAACAGGTTTCCCGTCTTTCCCCCTCACGCCTTGAAGACTCTGGCCACCGAGCTCAGCCCTCAGGACCACCCAACCAACATTGCTTACGTGTCTATGGTATTCTATGGGTTCATGCTTTGTCCAAAATAAAAACGCAAAAAAACTGAGTTGAGGTGAAAGTTTATCAAGTTTCGAGCTCAACCGTGGCGTTCTTATCTCCCAAGGTCACTGCCGCCGCCAAAGTCTGCTTTTCGTCGAGGACGGCGGCTGGCTTGTTGGACTTTTGCGACGTAGATGTAGCTGCCCTACGACCGCCCTTCTTGTAAGTCGAAATGTAGAACATAATGAAGAGAATCAGGTACGACGTCAGGATCGCGCCGCCGGTCACGGCAGAGTAGAATTCCCCACCGCACCGGCCGACGTGGGGGAGAATATCCTTGAAGTACGTGTCTGCGAAGACGTCGTAGAAGCCAAAGTAGACGAAACCTGTCGACGCAGATTAGCATGACTCCAGTTACCGAAATCCTCACCATCATGTCAAGTGAGTTAGTGTTGGGGTTCAGATGTGTTCGACTCACCAAGGTCCAGCACGAACTGGGTAATCTGCAAGACGGTGATCCACTGCTTCCACCACACCTTGACGCCCCGCGCGGTCTGGAAGTAATACCAGTACATGACAACGTGCACCGTAAGGTTGAGCGTGATGGGCACCCAGGACAGCGGGGTGCCTCCGATCAACTGGCTGAAGCAGAGGAGCGCGGTAGCTGGGTGGTGATAGCAGTGGAGGAAGGTAAGGGGCTTCTTCTTGAGCATCAGGAAGACGGTGTCGATGAGCTCGTAGTACTTTGTGAGGTAGTTGATCTGCCAGGAAAAGGTAAGCTTGTATTCTTGGTCAGAGGAGGATTTGAATACTCACGTAGTAGAGAACGACCAGTTGTTGTGTCCAGCCCGAGGGTCCGCAGATGCATTCGTAGATACCCTTCTGCCACAGGCTTGGTGCGATTTGTTCGACGAAGAGAACCAGTAGAGCTCCGCTGAGAAGAGACAGGAAGAGGTTGTGGATTTTGAAGAGCGTGTTTAGCTCTAGCGGCTTGCGGTTGCGCATTACCTCCCGGCCGCCAAAGACGATTACAAGGTACAGCACCACCAGACTCATGGCTTCAGTGAAAGTCGAGAGTGGTGTCCGTCCGTAAACGAACTCGAAGTCGCTGGCAGGATAGCCCATAACCGACTTGTAGACCTTGTCGAATGTTGTCCATGGTGAGAGGAGCGCCGCGGATGCATCTTTCACCACCATAAACCCGGAGATGTTGCCGCTGGAGGTGAGATTATCAGGAAACATGATGACGACTGGGGGAGAGTCTGAAGAGTCTTGAAGAAAGGAAAGATTCTTACGTAGAGGGAAGAATTGCATCGATTTATGCTAATGTGGATGAGTACCTCAATGCATGACCAAGACTTTACCATGGGAAAACGGGGCCACCGCTCTACGCCCCAAGCTCAACCATCTCGATGCCTCCGTTTCAGACCACCAACTCAATTGCTTTAAGAAACCAGCCTATGACGGCATTTTTTTCTTTACGGTCCTCGCGGGTACCCAATGCATGATAAGCGCGAGCCGCAATTAGATTGTCCATTCCCCGTAGCTACCCGAGCTTTTGCCAGCTCGGTATCAATGCTCCGAAAGCTCGTACCCAGCTTTACGTACAGCTACGACGGACCTTGAAGGACGCGTGTGATGCCCGGGTCGCGTACATCCCACACGGGTTATGCCTTAGCTTTGAGAGGCGTTACGTGGTTCTCTAGCACGTACCCGGTTTTAACCCCCTCATCAGAATCAGGCTTTTTCTATTGAAGTTAAAGATGGTATTTGCTTCTCACTTTCAGACCCTCGGGGCAGTGCAAACTAACCAGTGGGAACGACCTTGT